TATAAAGTAAAAGAGCCTCAATTGTTGTCTTCCACCGTATCTTCCAAAGCTACAGGTGCTGCGGCGAGATATAACGCTCGACTGGTACCGTAACATACCACAGAGCTAGCTGAAAACATGGAAAATAGAGAGACTATCAAATCGACCCGATTCTGGACTACGTGTTATACCAAAAGATGGCGCTATACATTTTGTTTTTATGGTGAGATGGATGAGCTCGCCGGCTGCCGGGATGAGCTCTGTTGCATAAAATTTAGCAATGATGATAACTTTGCAATCAATAGTATTTAAATTTGCAGCATCACTCACTATCCAATCAAATCAAGGTTTCTATGAAAGTTACTTTTAATGGTAAAGTGGGCATCAATGCTAAGTACCCCTCAAAGTAGTGGATCCCGTCGGGGGATTGATTACACGATCAGGGGGGGGGGGGGGGGGGTAGCATTAGTAGCTATGTAGTACTAGCAGTAGTAGTATAGATATATTGCCTGCTATGGGTGGCAACACTGTTTCTGTAGGCTCAAAGGGAAATTACATCCTGCCATGACCCAAGGAGCGCGGAAAAGGCTTTTGTTCCCTTGGAAGGGGGTATTTGGGAGCGCTGGCTCAAGTCAAACCCTATCTATATATAAAGCTATATATTTTTCATACTTAGCTTGGTTATACAAGAGGGGAAATTGTTATGTCGGAACAAAGCACACAAAAAGAGATGCAGGCAAACAAAGGGGGCATCCGCTTGGTAATGGATGGGTACAGACAAAGAGCACAATAGATAAAGAAGATGAAAATTTACGTTAGAAGGCAGACCTTATGCTATGACTGTAGGGGCATGATTGTCTTTACTTGGAAGGGGCACATTTTGGTCAATGGAGGAGCGCCCGTTTGTCACGGAAGGGACACTTTTCTTAATTTTGAAAAACCAGCCCCCCCCCCCCCTCCCCGATTCCGCCTCCGATGAATGTGCCAATTAGATGGGGTTTACAGAATGTGGGCACGGATTAAAAGGTAGCTGTATCCCGGAGGTACATTTCTTTAAAGGCGCTTGAGAGAGGGTCATACGTGTTGCCTCCTCCTCCTCCGCCCCCTCCCCATCCCGCCCTCAAGCGACAACGGTTTCAACGCCTAGGACTTGGTGCATGCGGATCAAGGATTTTCAAATGGTAGATGGTACGATTTTGAAAATCGCGCAGGTGTACCATTAAGGGTAACAGTAGGTGGTTACCCACTCAAAAATTATCGACAAAAATAATATTGGCATTATGTCAACTATTTTGGAATTGTAGGGAGTGTCAGATGCATAACTTTAATGATGTATAACCGTTTAAATTCAAATGTGGTAGTAGATGGATAAGACACTGGAAAACTGGAAAGTGTTGACGTTTCACATTTTTCTAGACATGATTGTCATGCATGATTTACTAAGCTCCGGGGTGTAGGAGAAGGATTCCCACCGAACCTCTGAAAATGTAGATATTAAAAAGACGAAAACTGCACGTTTTCAAGCAATAAACAAAAGAGAAGGAGATCTTCACATACACACAGTTGCGTAGCTAGAGTCCAGCCATTGAGGGGGCACTGGCACCATGGGGGGGGGGGGGGGGGGGGGGGGGGGGGGGGGGGGGGGGGGGGGGGCACCGGTCTTACTCAGAAAATTCAATGCGAATTTACAAGGCCGCTGGTTAGGAGGGTTGGTGCGGAGGGTTCCAATTGTCTTCCCTTCTCTTCCTTTTCCCTTCTTTTTAAACTTTTTAACTTTTTCTTTCATTCATTTTTTACCGTCAAATTGATGTGCCGTGCCCCCAGATGACTCGACTGTTCCTTTTTGTATGGGACCAGAGCAGGACATTAAATGTTCCAAATTACTATCCACCATGGCAACCACCCATGGTTACCATGGTTTATGATAATTTGGACAAAAAAAACATGGTTACCATGGGGTTCTTTTATAAGGGTATACACAGGCATCACAAACTTGGGAATAGAAAAGGGGAAGGGGAGCCAAAGAAGTGGAGGTCATCTCATCGATTTAGTTTTATTTTCTGATTTATTTATTAATCATGATATCCCCCCTTCCCCTCTACCTTTCAATATTTATCACCAATTTCGATCTTATCCCCCCCCCTTCTAATATTCCTCTCTTCCTTTCCTTTGTTTTTGTATTCATTTGTCCTTCATATTGTCCTATTGTCTTTAGTTGTCTTCTATGATATTTCTCCGTCTCTCTCTCTCTCTCTCTCTCTCTCTCTCTCTCTCTCTCTCTCTCTCTCTCTCTCCAGTCCTTTGGATCTCTGATGGGGAGAGGGGGCTGGCCTGTCTCGGCCTCCCAAATTCCTTTTAATGTTCGTTTGCTGTTTAGGTACCTTTTTCCATTTTGGAATTAAGAACCCTCTTTATTTTTGGAATTATGAACCCTCTTTCATTTTCGGAATTACGGACCTTCAGAATTTTGAACCCTCTTTCATTTTCGGAATTACGGACCTTCAGAATTTTGAACCCTCTTTCATTTTCGGAATTATGGACCTTCGGAGTAACGAGCCAGCAGCAGCAGGAGGATGTGGAGGAGGATGAGGAGGAGGGGTAGCAGCAGTAATAGTAGTAGTAGTAGTAGTAGTAGTATCAGCAGCAGTAGGAGGGGGTGACCCGGGGTGTGGAGGAGGATGAGGAGGAGGAGGGGTAGCAGCAGCAGTAGTAGGAGGACGGTAGCAGTAGTGGTAATAGTGGCAACAGTGTTAGTAGTAGTCCTCTGAACATTTCAAATTACAACAACATGTAACGTTATAACACATTCTTATTTTCAATTGTCTAAACTTTGAAAGAAAGTGGTAAGACTGGCACCTAATATGGTGGTTATTTGTAGTAAAGGCTCTATCCTGAATTGTTTTTATTTTTTATTTTTTTGGTACTTCATTTATTTGATATACATGTTACAAGCTCTGGAGATATCATATATTGAAATATCTCTCTCAATTTGTCTCACGTTTCTCTATATGTCTTTTTATGTCCTCCCTCTCTCTCCTTCTCTCAATCTTTCAATTGCACGCTGTTCCCTCTCCTCTCAATTTGCTTCCCTCTCTTCTCTATTTTCACTCCCTTCCTAACTCTATAATAACTGCACTTAGAGGCAAAAGTTTTGCAGCATGCACCCTTGCAATGTTAATCCCAAAAAGGGAATTGTTCTCATTTCAGCAAATATTTCTTTTGCTCTTAATGAAAAAAATAGATGTGAGACCATTTGATAACATCTTTTATGTTGTATTATTTAATCAATCCACATAAAATATGAGCTCATTTTGTTTCCAATTCAATTGTTCAATACACACAATCAATAGGCATAACACAAGAGCTCATTTAATAACATTTCATTTTCAATTCAATCATCACACACAATCAAAAAGCTTAAAACATGAGCTCATTATTTTGATAACATTTTATTTTCAATTCAATCATTACACACAATCAATAGGCATAAAACATGAGCTCATTTGATAACATTTTGTATCCAACTAAATCTTTCTCAACTTCTGGGAAATTTCTGAAAAATCAACATTAATGCTAACTCATAGTATATAGATTAGATAGATTGTTTCACACTATTAATGAGTATACGATACACAAAAGGTTATTAAACATGGAAGTCTAAAATCAGGAGCAAAGTGGACATCAAAAGCATGTAAACTAACATGTGAAAATGGCCTGGAATATAACAGATTCGTATGCTGTAAGCTTTGGTTTACACATCTTTCAAACAATGTTTGTTTTAAAGATTGTATGACAACTGACATCGAACATGATGATTCGAAAGTCAAAATTAGCAACAATGTAAGCGAAAGTCATTTGATTTTAATTTTGACAGAAAATAATGTATCAAAACTCAAATAAGAGCTTCAGGAACATTATCAACCATGACACTAATTTTACAATCCATGAGATAAAAGTAAATGGCAGCCTTTGTCGTATTAATGTATAGGTTCCACTCATTCCACATTATGTCACACAAAGCATCTTATTGTAAGGTTTGAGGTATGTACACAATATCATGAGGGGTGACTATAGTTGTAAAAAGAACACTACATAAATAGTTTCATATTGTAAGGTTGGGGTTATATCATATGTATTTATCTAATAAACAGTACATAAATGGTATCATAATAGGTTTGGGTTATATAGTCATCTCAAAACAGTACCTAAATAGTATCATATTGTAAGGTTTGGGTTATACAGTAGTATGTATTCATTTTAAGTACAGTACATAAATAGTTTCATATTGTAAGGTTTGGATTATACAGTATGTAATCATCTCAAGAACAAAACAAAAATAGTATCACATTGTACGGTTTGGGTTATGTCATATGTATTCAACTCAAAACAGTACATACTCCCTTGAAATATTCGAGACGGGAGTCTGCAAGAAATAGAGGGAGAGAGAAAATTAAATATCCGTGCAATGCCCTTTTTACAACTTTACTTTGTGTGAACATCCAATTTTTTTCTCTGAATATAGTTGTTTGACTAAATTTCTTCATAGCCTATGAAGAATGGGGGATTGACAATCTTCTTCAGTTCTCAAGTTGTACCATCATTTTTTATAATATTGTGACTTGACTTTTGAGTATAATTTTTATTAGGAAATGATATCTGAAAAAGTTACATTGAATGCATATTAAAAAAGAAACACTACAAAAATTGGAGAAAAAAAGATTAATAACTCAAAAAGTGGAAATGATCATCAAATAAAAGCAATCTAACGTGTGTTCCAGACCTAAACAGACGGGACGGGACCTAAACAGATAATAACAACACAACACAATGACAGTCCCTCTTCATGGACACATAATAGCCACGCCTCACGCACAACCACGTGCTTTTCTATTGACAACATTTACAGACTGGTGTAGTTTCTCAGAACTTCGGTAGCGTGTGAAGTTCCGTGCATTTATTCAAAAGAACTTGTATATATCACACTTTGCGCGCGGTTACGAAAGATCAAAGGTTATACAAGGCATTTAATTTTAGCGCGAAACAAAACCACACCATTGCATGCATTGATGGTCTCTCGCAAAATTTTGCCGTGTGCGTGTATCAGCAGGTGAATAGAAAGTGAAAATTGTCTCGGACTGTTCTATTCCCCGTCACGTAAGTAACTTAAGTATCAAACATGCGAATGTTAAACAGTTAAATCACTTAATCAGTTTACAGTTTTAAATAGATCGTGATCTTTTTCTTTGAGATTAGATCTAATGTGAATTTCAACGTTCGACCAGGGCCAGGGTTGCGCTCGACGCTCGCGCTCAGCCTCGGCTCAGGCCAGGCGACGTATCTGTACTGGTACAGGCTACACAGCGAGCCAGTGCCGATTCAGCCGCGGGCGCGGGCCGTGGCGATCGAGCCCTCGCGCCCGTACAGATGTTAGCGGGCCTTTTAATCTGATTTAGCTTTAGTTTAGATGAGTGTCAGTAAATTTTAAGTTTGAAGTAATACAATCGAAGTGCCCTAGATGATTGTAATCATCCCATCCTGCTAGTATAGAGATCTAGATCTAGGCCTAGTACTAAAAGTTAATGGGAGACGAGGATGAAAACCACATGAAGAGATTCTGGAGCTTCATTAAACATAACCAGAGCAGAGTGACATGGAGGAATCTCACATCTCAACTCAGATGGAAGAAAGTTATCAATCGGATATGAATGATTATTTACTGGGGGCTGACCTTCAACGTCACCATCCAAAACTCCAAAAGACTCTAGACTAGATCTAGAATCTAGATCAGTTTCGAACCGGGTTCTGCAATTCTGCCTGAGTCAATTTGAAGGCAAAGGCAGGGAGCTGAGCAAGTGAATGTGACGCTAGACCAACTCGCATCTTCTGTTAAAGTTTAGTCTTAAATAGGCTGGGCAAAGATTTGGTGAAGCCAGAAATTGTCACTTCTGACATGTCACTCTCGACAGAATATAACAGTAGACCTACCACTGAAAGAACTTAGACCTATTTTAGAATTGATGATAAAGGTAACAAGCAATAGTCTAGTGCTAGCGGGAAGCAATGTTACCAATACTATGCATCGCCAAGAGAACAAAATACAAATATAACATTAATAATTTTATCGATAGCAGCCTGCCATCAGTGCGCTGCGGCGTGTTTACTTATTTCATCTCTATTGATATTATGCTTCTCAGCTATAACCTGATCACCTGTCATGGACATTAGCCCAAGTGTGAGGTTGACATTGTTTACTTACCTTGTTTCTGGATCTAGTAGCAGCTCTAACAGTTACTCTTTGATCTCATTATTTCTGTTTTTTACTTTTGCTTTTGTTATAGTAGGCAGTCTTTCAACCAGAGATTTCATGATGTCTGAGCAACAGAGGGATGTTCCTCTGGAAGTTGATGACAAGTGTTCAGAATCAGATGAAGTGATAGAATCACTTCCCTCTTGCCACCCAGGAGCCTTAACACCAGGTACGCTAGACTTTTTCAAAATAAATAATGCATAATTTAAACTAGTCATTCCCACTGTAGACTACTACATATGTTTTTTTCTTCTTTTTTTCCTCCTTTTTCTTTGTGTTCGTTTGTTTATAGAAAATAATCATATCAATGTGCAGTTATGATGCATAGGTCAAAACTTTTTAGGACATGATTTTTATTCAGGAACTTAAAGAGTGTACATGTAAATTAATATCCAAAAATATATTATACAAAACTAAATATAAATAAGTTGGATTGCACTCTGGCTAGAATAAGAACGCTCCAGTTTACTAGGGAACATGCAATGACACAGGATTGCCACAGGAGTGATGAGGTTTGAATTAATGATAAATTATTGCCTCCTACTCTTGTCAGAGAAACTTCGGGAAGCAGAAATGGCATCGACCGGTTCTGAAGCTAGTGACAGTCAGATGCCAGGAGGAACATCTGGTAGGACCTCTCCTGCCAGCAGCACTGGGCAGAACAGCGATGCAAGCATGAGTACTGATGGGGATATGATCATCACTGACAGTATGCGTGCTGAAGAAGAAAAGCTGAAACAGAATGCAGAAGAAGAGCAAAAATCACAAGAGATAGAGGTAAGCTCTGCTGATGTTCAAGAAAACAAAATACTTATTAATTAAGTTGAACCGATTTAGAGCTAGTTTCATTTATATCTTATGGTACCACCAAGTTTTCAAACATGTATCACAAGTATCTTTTGTTGTTCTACTTTGTTTTTATCATCCATTTTCGTTTCTTTGTTTCAATATTTATGAGAAGCCTTGCGATTATTGGCGTAAAAAACTTTACAAACTTCAAAAGTATGACATTGCCATTGAATTGTCCTAGAGTTTCTGATACAATCATAATTTGCTGTGGTTTATAATGCCTATGGCTATGGCACTCCATTAGTTGGCCAGAATTTGAGTCAATCATATCGCTAGACCTGTGACTTGATCAGGTCTATTAAGAATTTTTATGAACATGTAAAAACAATTACTTACTGGACTTGTGTAATTTCTGTTGTTGGAATCAATATGAAACATACATATATTGAGTTGGATTGGCTTGACTTATTTTCAATGTAATTTCTGTATTGCATTATCGTTGCAGTCTGGTGATAGTTGGAAGACAGAACTGGAGGAGCAGAGATACAAGAGGCTTCAGCATCTGCTTCAGAAGAGCAGTATTTATACAAATTTTCTGCTCTCCAAGATGGATGAACAACAAGCCAAGGAACGCAAGAGACAAGAGAGACAGGCTCAGAAAAGGAAGGAAGAGGAGAAGAACCAAAAGAAAGAGAAGAAGGCAGAAGAAAAGAAAGAAGTAGGTCATATAGTGGATCAATGTTTTGTATTTTATTCTGTTTTTGTTAATTAATACATGAATGTATTTGAGAGTAAAGCAAATATGTCAATTGACAAGTAGATCAATGAAATGAAACGAGAATACTTTGATTTCAGATAATCATGCCCAGAAACGGAAAGTTGAGTAATGTGAATTGCCCTTAAATAAGTGAAAAGATTGCAGATTTTGGATAGTATTTGTGGAAGGTAGCCATTTTCTGGTTCATTTTTATTGAAACTTTTAAACTGAAAGGCTTCCAGTTTGCTTCTTGCAAAATGAACCTCAGTTATAGGGTTTACTACATCTCACCAAAAGAAGTTATAATGACTTTCCCTTCTTGGCAGGTCACATTTGTATGGTTGGTGGTCTATTATAATAACTTGTTTGTCCTCAATTAGCACCTTAAGCTTCTCCCAATTACAGCTCTTAGAATCTTGATCCACCCCACAAAGCACACAATGGATAGGAGTAAATCCCCTAGCTGACCTAAGCCTTTCTATTACCTATTGGACAAAGGACATAACGCACTTTAGTAAGTCTCCATTGTAGCAAAGAAAGGATAGCTATTAGGATTGTAATTACAGCCTAACATGCCTCTTATATCCAATTATTTTAATTTTTCAGCAGCTAGAGACACCCAAAAGGTCGAGAAGAAGTGCAAGAAAACAAGACCAAGAAGATAGCCAAGGTATGGATGATGGACCTCACACTATATTTTACCACCCTTGTAGTGTTTTTTTTTCTTTGTAGGCTTTTTGGATACAAGAGCTTCTTAAAAGGCAACAGGTCATTTCATTTAAATGAGCTCTGGAGGTATGCTATAGAAAGTCATTTGGTTTTAATCTTTGGTCTTTATCTCTATTTTCTCGTCCCTCTTTCAATATTATATCCGATCAGAATAGAAACAGTTGTTGATTATGGACATTATTGAGAATTTAAATGACCCTCTTGAAAAAATGAGAGTTTGGAGTTATAATGAGAAGATAAAGTAAGGGTATGTTGGTTAGTATATTACTTTAAACATGTCATACAATCAGTTTTGCTTAGCATTTCAATCAATTAATAATTATCACCTGTCAGGAAATCCCCATTTCTCTCCAATTAGTACTGGTCTATTGCTTACTCATTAAATAAAATCGTGAACACTAACTAGTTGCAGTTTTAATGATGCTAAAATTCAGGATGTTCTCTCACATTACTGGGCCACTTTGGTGCAGTGAAGTAAGGTCAATAGGATCTTCCAGTTCATTCCAGACAAGCTCATTCCTTTGTTACTTTTACATCTATAAAGAATTACAAATTCAAATGCAAAAATGTTCTATATTTAAAATCAGCTATCAAAATTGTTCCTTTCTATAATTTTTGATAATGCCATGAAACTATAGCTGCGCAATTTTTTGATGTTAGATATTATTCTCTGTGTTTTTTTTTCTCAGAAAGTGGCAGCAGTCAAGAAGGAGCAGGAAAGAAATCATCAAAGGGAAAAAAGCAGAACAGTGAAACAGGTAAACTAGGAGCAATTATAAGTCATTACCCATTTCGTTATTTGGAATATATATGAGATATTATCTTGCTGTAGTAGCTCTTTAATCGCAATGAATTGAATTTCTCCACTGACATATTTAGGGACACTGATTTTCCGCGATCACGGAAAACGGACGGAATTCACGGAATTGACCATTTGAAACGGAAAATCCCTTTTATCTCAAAACTTTTCATTTTTCAAGAAGAAAATCGTAAAACTTACACTATTTTTGTGACTCGTTATGCAGTAAAAAAATATAGGGCCTCAAATCATGGTTAATAATTACAAATATCTAGCGATATTCAACAGATTCTTAGGAGACCGGGCGCTGCCATTTTGTTTCGCTGGACCAATAGAGATCGTGACACAAAACACGGTACAAATAGCAGCGAAACGATCCTATTATGCCAGCTAGGCCCCTAGTATTACGTAGACGTAATACTAGGCACACACACACGCCAGCAGCGGGCGCTACGTGCGGCGAGTTCGAAAAAGGGGCTGGCATGTGCGCCTAAAGTCGATCGATCGCGGACATGACAGCCAAGACTGAAATGTTTTCGTCGACGTCGGTACTCATCCTTTCCGTCAGGAATATGTCGTGTTCTGACATATTCCGCTGATTTTAGTCTGCTTGTCTAAGTTCGAATTTGAAGTTGGTAAATTTAAACATTTAAATAATTTTTCGTAGGTCTAGCCTAGACTCTAGGGCCCGTAGGGGTCTATATTTTCACTAGTATTTTGCATCAAGTTTATCCAGTCCCGTCCATATGTTTTTGAGTGGTTATCAGTGGCTTGTCAAAGGTGGCGGCTTTGATAGAACATTTGTACCCTACAAGTTCATGTTTTAATGAAAATCTTATGTAAACGGAATTTTTTAATGTGTACAAAGTCTATGGTAAAACATAATTTCCGTTTTTTAGCCCATCTGAAACAGAATTCCAGATTTTCTGAAACGGAAAAGGCCATTTTTTTAAACGGAAAATCAGTGTCCCTACATATTGTTTTGAGTGTATTGTATATGTACAACAACAGTTGACTGTGGCAGTTACTTGTTTGTTCAATTCTTTGCTCAAAGATGGTTAAGAAATAGTATAAAGAGCAAAAGCTGTCTATTAAAATTGTTATGAAACATGTTATATCTTGGCATTCAGCATTCTTTAAGATTTAATTTCTAATGAAAGTTTGTATGTCTGAATTAAAAATAAATATTCTTTGTATTTTGAAATTATTTTGTATTGAAGTTAATTGCATTGAATTGAGATGTTTTATTGTAATTATAACACTGAACATGCAGCCCAAGCGCTGACTCTATTCAATTTACAAAGCTAAACATACAGAATACATACAAATCTAGAAGTTCCTGTTATCAATCCTTATGTCGAAATAATAAACTATTTGTGTAGGTAATTTTCTTCTACAGCTTCAAAGAGTTGGAAAGTGAACCAGGAGCAAGTGAATACAATCAAACAAACATTCTTTCTTCTTTCTTTCTTGTTTTATTTAAATGTGCAGATTCACCTGGGAGGGGCAGGAAGAGGAAAGCAGATACTTATTCAATTGCTGATTATTTGAACAAAGAGGTGAGACTCGGTTGACTTGGAAAGTCTACATACTATCAGTTGACACTCTATCCCCTGCATATACATTTATTTCACACACTTGATTTGTCCTCAGTTTGATTTTCAATAGGAATTCAGAGACAGCACAATATATGTAAGGAAAAAGTATAGACATATATATGAACATTTTAAATCAGAGGTTATTAAACCCTGAATATTATTTGTGCAAAGATTGTTTATAGTCTTAATAATTTTCAATTTCAGACCCTGACCAAGACATCTAAGAAGCAGAATGTAGATCAAACAGACACAGCTGCAGAACCCACAGACACACTAACAGTAGATGATGATGCTGATCAAACTGTTAAAGCGAGTAAAGGTGACTTTGTGGATACCTTCAGCAGGGTGATCAATGGAGAGAAAGTCTCTGATCTTCAGCCGGATCTCTTCTCTGGTGGTGTGCTTAGGAAGTATCAACTGGATGGCATGGAATGGCTTAAGGTAAACAACCATGAGCTGCATCACATTAATAATACAAATGTACAGTTCACCCTCACAACTGATGTATGTGATTGTTGCTCTGAGAATACTTCATAGATAATTGCTTCAGGCACTATTGTATCAAAGATGTTCGGTTGGGATTTTAGTTTACGTCAAGTGTCTCATTGTGAGAGACTGAGGTCCTATGTTTTGAAAATTACATTTTTCATTTTTATGCTTCCGCCACCGAAGGTGGTGCCGGAGGCATCATGTTTTCGGGTTGTCCGTCCGTACGTCCGTCCGTCCGTACGTCCCGTTTGACCGTTATCACAATATCTCAAGAACCATTTAAGATTTAAACTTAAGACTCGGGAATAGTATTTATCACCATAGGAAGACGATCTGATTAGATTTTGGAGTACGTAGGTCAAAGGTCACAGGTCACAAAGGTCAACTTATGAAATTCCTTGTATTGAGTTTGTTAGCGCGATATCTCAAGAACCATTCGAGATTTAAACTTCAAACTTAAGGATAGTATGTATCACCATAGGAAGACGATCTGATTAGATTTTGGAGCATGTATGTCAAAGGTCAAGGGTCACAGAGGTCAACTTATAAAATTCCATACATTGAGATTGTTATCATGATATCTCAAGAACCACTGGAGATTTAAACTTCAAACTTAGTGATAGTGTGTATCACTATAGGAAAACAATCTGATTACATTTTGGGTCACGAGGTCAAAGGTCACAGGGCTCATTATGTATGCAAAAACAGCTTGTGATCGCGTTATCTGAACAACCGATTGATGGATTCCTGCCAAACTTTGGTCATGTATGTATCTTGCAGAGCTGATGAACTGATTAGATTTTGGGGTCACGAGGTCAAAGGTCACAGGGCTCATTATGTATGCAAAAACAGCTTGTGATCGCGTTATCTGAAGAACCGATTGATGGATTCCTGCCAAACTTTGGTCATGTATGTATCTTGCAGAGCTGATGAACTGATTAGATTTTGGGGTCACGAGGTCAAAGGTCACAGGGCTCATTATGTATGCAAAAACAGCTTGTGATCGCGTTATCTGAAGAACCAATTGATGGATTCCTGCCAAACTTTGGTCATGTATGTTACTTGCAGAGCTGATGAACTGATTAGATTTTGGGGTCATGAGGTAAAGGTCAAGGTCATGCGGCTCATTATGTATGCAAAAATAGCTTGTGATCGTATTATCATTAGAACAGATTGATGGATTCCTCCTGCCAAACTTAGATCATTTATGTATCTTGCAGAGCCAATGAATGGTTCATAAGATCAAAGGTCATGGGCTCATTATGTATGCAAAAATAGCTTGTGGACGCATTCTCATTAGAACTGACAGATGGATTACTATTTAACTCAGGAAATCTTGCAGAGCCAGTGAACTGAGTAGATTTTAGGGTCATGAGGTCAAAGATCAAAGGGTCATATATGTATATGAGAAATTGCTTGTAATCACGATATTCTGAGAACATGTTAATGGATTACAATTGAACTTGAATTTGAAAAATTTCTTCCGTTTCGGTTTGTAAAATTGCTCTATGACGGAGGCATCATTTTCCATCTAGTTATTACTGCAATAAGCAAATGAAAGCATGTTAAGATGGGATCACTAGGCCCATTTGGCATTGTTATTGGTATAATGTGATTTCAATTCCATGTGTTGTATGAGAATGGTGTAAATGGTATCTTAGGGGATGAAATGGGATTGGGCAAGACCATTCAGAGTATAGCTCTGTTTGTTTATGTGATTGAGATGGGATCACCATTCCCATTCCTTATTACTATTTCATGGACATTGCAGGTGCTGTATGAGAATGGTGCCAACAGTATCTTAGGAGATGAAATGGGATTGGGCAAGACTATTCAGTATATAGCTCTGTTTGTTTATGTGATTGAGATGGGTTCACCATTCCCATGCCTTATTACTATTTCATGGTCATTGCAGGTGCTGTATGAGAATGGTGTCAACGGTATCTTAGGGGATGAAATGGGATTGGGCAAGACTATTCAGTATATAGCTCTGTTTATTTGATTGAGATGGGATCACCATTCACATTCCTTATTACTATTTCATGGTCATTGCAGGTGCTGTATGAGAATGGTGTCAACGGTATCTTAGGAGATGAAATGGGACTTGGTAAGACTATACAGTGTATAGCTCTGTTTGCTTATGTGATTGAGATGGGAGTACCAGGCCCGTTTCTAGTGTGTGCGCCACTGTCTACTGTGCCAAACTGGGTGTCAGAATTCCAGCGATTTACCCCGAAGGTAAGTTTGCATTGATACTTTCGATGAGGTCAAAGTTATTTTTGAAAATGCTGAATGTAATGTAGATCATGGAATTAATGAAAATCAATAAAAATTAAATTTATACCTTTTCCAGAGGTTGCCTTGTTGTCAAATAGAAATATTTGATTTCTAGATTTAAAAAAAATTGAATTGCTGAAATGGATTGTAGACATAACATATATTTCAGATCAACAGTTTTAGATGAAAAGTATTGCATTTCTTGTGGCACCATTTGTAAATTGCTGCTTTGGAGATAATGGTTGAAAAAGAATATGCATACTATCCTTCGATTTTGTTTATATGTTTTAACATCAATTTTCATTTATAAAGTTTAGCTTGATTCCTTGTACCTGGAGATTTTTGTGATGATGGGAAAGGAGGAAATGATACACAGAAACGTCAGACTGCAGGACATTGTCGCACAAAATTGTCCTAAGTACCGGTATTCCAACATCTCATTGAAATGCATATTAATTTTAAGATGTGCGTTTCTATGGGATTCAATTCACGAATCCAAGTTGAGATATGTACTTTATCTTATGACATCAATTACTTCATAAATTGTGAACTGATTTGATTGCATCTGTAGATTCCAGTGTTACTGTACCACGGCACCAAAGAGGAAAGAGCCAAGAAAAGGAAGCAGATTCGTAAGAAGATTGGTGAACACCAGTCTCATCCCATCGTCATCACATCGTATGAGATTGTGATGAATGATAGGATTCATCTACAGGGGTTGCAGTGGAAGTATGTCATCGTCGATGAGGGACATCGTATCAAGAATCTCAACTGCAGACTTATCAAGTAAGGATCAAGACTTTGTTGTGTTCTCTGTTTCTCAGGAATATCATATATTCACATATTTTTCATATCTTCTCTTTCTCTGTCTGTCTGTCTCTCTCTCTCTGGGGCTCAGTCTTTGTCTTTTAATTTTCTTCCCTCATTCTCCCTCTCAATCCCACTCTGTCCCCCTCCTACTCTCCTTTCCTTCCTCTTTTCTTAGTTCCCACAGTTTCTTGTAATGTTGCTGCTGCTTTCTCTAATTTTTGTTGTTTTATTTTCTACTATAAACATATGGGGTGAATAAATTATTTGAAAATTGAAATATATTTATCCAGCTGGAATGATACCATTAAAAACTTATGTTTGTTTTTAAATCCAGTTATTTTTTGAAAGGTAGATCGTAAGTATAAATATTTATTTCATGTTGGTGATACTGTTTGCTACTGACAGTCATTCAAACAAATTCACAGTTGCACTCATTCCTTTTCCAAGAAAACAATATGAAATTATGCAAATGTACGTCTATGACATTCTCAGGGAGCTGAAGATGTACCAGACAGCGAACCGTCTACTGCTGACGGGTACTCCTCTGCAGAACAACCTTGCTGAGCTCTGGTCCATGCTCAACTTTCTCTTGCCAGAAGTCTTTGATGATCTCAATACGTAAGTCAATTTGACCCCCCCCCCCCCCCCCCCCCCCTGTAGTAATAATTTTGCGACTTCTCCGGCACCGCGACAGATATAAAGTTTTCCTTTCATGACTATTTTCTTTCAAGTCTTATGCATCTTTTAAAACAATTTTTTGGAAAATCGGACGTATAGTTACAAAGTCACGTGACCTTTTGTCTTTGCATGTCAGCCCGAAAATCACTCATTTTTGTGATTTGTGTACAAAACCTATGGAAATATCATTTTTCCTAAAAAGAGAGAAACATTGGTTATTTGGTTTTGTTTAAAGTTTAGGTGTTTGTTTTGGGGTCAAAATAGTTGAATTGTAGTTAGAAATGAAATAAAACAACAAAAACAATAAAATACATGAGTTAACAAAGCAATGAAATACATAAGAAATCATCAAAACGAGATAACATAACCTGGCTCTTCCAATTTTTTTGTCGTATTATTATTCCAAATGGTTTATCTAATATATGTAGTGAAAAAGAATGCTTAAATATAAATAATATATGATTTATGGATAGAATTGAAATTCAATGACCTTGTTTGCATAAATTACCATAAATATGCAAATGAGTGAATTTTTCAAAAAATTGAAATTACCATAGTTCTATACACTTCACTTGACCTGCATACAAATTTTCGCGGCAATCGGCTGTGAAACGGCCGAGATCTTAGGAGGGCCGGTAAAAACCTGGTCTGAAATAGCCCGGTTAGAATAGGGTTAAACTCATGAATATTGTCAATGCCAGTCATTTTTGTTGAATTTTTTTTTCATAAATCACAACTACTAACAAAAATGTGTTTGTTTTATCATTCTGAGACGGGTCATTACATGAAAAAGGTTTGATCAGGTGATTGTTTGTGTTCCCTCGTAAAGATTTCAATCATATATGGGAGTGACATGTTGTTTGATGATTTTTATTCATCTAGATTCCAGTCATGGTTTGACTTCTCTACCCTGTCGAAGGAAGGTGGTGATGAGGCTATCATAGCCCAAGAAAGAGAACAACATGTCATCTCTATGCTCCATCAGGTTTGTATACAATTTACCCCCCCCCCCCCCCCACATATTTTGTTAATTTGTATACATTTCACTCTGATTTACAAATAATTTTTTTAATGTTTTCTTTGTGTCACTCTTGGAGCCCGATAAAACAAGAAATGTGGTTATAGGTAAAGCCCAAGATAAAGATTGATCATGTCCTATAGGTAATGGTGTATGAAGGAGATATGCATTGTGTGTTGCCCTGGATGTTTAGGGATGCCCAGGCTGTAATATGTGTATTTTATTGAATACACTCAACAAGTAGGTTTAAAAATTTGTTTCAATTTGTTTTGGTCGACTCAATCTATATTGCAGGCAGAGTAGAAACATGTCATATTATATATGTATGCTGAAGATGGCTCAGAATAATTCCTATTGTCATTGTTGTATCAGAAGGGTTGATATCCCTGTCTCAGTAGGTTCTGTTTGTAAACACTTATAAGGTAAAGCTCCTTCTGACTCATGCCTATTGTAATATTGTATTATTCTACGATGTTGATTTTTTGATATCCCTATTTCAATATGTTTTTTAAATAATGATTTATCTCCCTATAGATACTGACACCATTCTTGCTACGTCGTCTGAAGGCTGATGTGGACCTCATGATTCCACCCAAGAAAGAACTCTTGGTTCACGCACCACTCACCAAACATCAAGAAAAGTTCTACAAATACACATTAGACAAGACTATCAAGGAGAGGCTACAGGAAGGAGATGTGAGTTTTTCGTAATTATTCATGTAAAAGTGTATATCTCGATAGGCAAGTCTGAGCTATTTGTCCCATGTGACCAAGCACATCTAAGATATTGCATCATTCATTTCAATGGTATGGGTTCGATCCCACTGCTGCCACCATATTGTGTATTGCGATCTTGAAGCACATAATTGGTAAAACATAACAGATTCCTCTCTGGTATGCTTAAATTTACATCCTGACAAATTAATTCCCAATGCGTAACACAGAATTACGTCACCATGGTGATCGCATCAAACACACATACAATGATCGATAGTTTAACTTAAGTTATGAGCATAGCAAGAGCTTGAATCAGACTAAGTTTCAAGCGAAATGACACATTAAACAAAAATTCTATTCAGATCTCTACAATACATGGTAATGTATAGGGAACTAAATGACCAAACTTCTACTCCCAAATATTACTTTTTCAGAACAACCTTTAAATGCTTGAAATATTTCTGGTCACATAAAGAGCTCTCAACCAATCAAAAACCAACACATTTTTAATGCATTATACTTGAATTAACTTGAAAATATATTTTATGTTATTATACCAATCAAGCTCAGTTTGAAATTTCAATTTATTTTACATTCCTTGCACAAAAATATGAATAGATAAGATGTGATATACTAAAGAAGTGGCAAGTACCGATATGCAGATATGCAAGTGAAATTTATAACACATATAAAGACAGCAGTTAGCTGATAAATGATTTGGCCATAAAAGTGATATTGGCATATCTAATATTGTTCTATATGTTATTGTAGGAGCCCACAGCTGCGCCGGTAGAGCTGACACCTTCTGGGCGTCCAAAGAGACGATCAAAAACTATCAACTATGCAATCATGATGGACTCAGGCAAGAAGGAGAAGGAGAAGAAAGGCAAGAAGAGGATTAACTTTGAGAAGGAAGAAGATGACATCATCGAGTGGTCGAATATGATGGAGAAACAACTAGAAAAGTGAGTTTATTATTTATAATTATTAATTATAACAAAACATTTTGTTAATTTTGTTACATCACTACAATAAAACATATGGAACTCTGGAGTTGAAACTTACCCTTACAAAATCAGTGGATTAAGTTAAGCCTGTTTTATCTAATGTCACTTTTCTAGAATATGGGCCGTGGTGATTACATTAAAAAAAAATCTTTTCCCATGCACAGTTGATGCCAAATTAAATTATGATGATGATGATGATTATCTTATGTGAATGTGCTGATTTATACCAGGGAAGAGAAAGTGATGAAAATCAAGGAGCCTGAAACCTCTGTGCCGAACATCAAGTTACAGAATGTGATGACGCAGATGAGAATGAGTAGTAATCACCCCTACTTCCTGGAGTACTCAAAGAGCTAATAATAATGTGAATTAATCAATCTATTCAGAAAATAGGAAGTGACGAAAGTTAAGAAGCCAGAGACCTCTGTAGTGAACATCAAGCAACGGAACATGATGATGATAATAATGTGAATTAATCCATTGATTCCAGGGAAGAGAGAGAGATGAATCTCAAGATGCCTGAAACCTCCGTCGTGAACATCAAGCTACAGAACGTGGTGATGCAGCTGAGAAAGTGTTGTAACCATCCCTACCTCCTGGAGTACCCTCTCCTTGAAACTACCGGAGAATACCGGGTGGACGAGGAGCTGGTCTCCTCTTGCGGCAAGATGCTGGTGGTGGACAAACTCCTGCCTGCTCTCAAGGAGAGAGGTCACAAGGTCAGTTCTGGAGGGTGTTTCACTAAGCCTTTTTTCAGTGAATAAAGACAAATATCAGTAACAAATCTGCTGATAACCAATCAGATGCACAGTTTTCAGTAGCTTATAACAAAAACTGTCATTTGTCACTGGTGACAAGTTTTGTGAAACAGGGCCCAGTAATCAATGTCACTTCTCATCTGTCAGTTTGTTTCCTAGAAAGATGTATTGAATCCAGAATAACATTTACCAATCACTAAAAATAGGTTGTGTGATCTATGTTAGGAATTCTATGATGGTTTCTAATATTCACAATATTGACTTATAAGTATTACACCTTAGTGACTAGTTTGCATACTAGTTAATGCACTTGCATAGAATTTGGGTCACACAAATTATTACATCTATACTAATTTTTCAACTATTTGAATGTTAACGATATGATCTGTTGTTGTTGCTGTTGTTGAGGGGTACTCTGTCCCTTTTAGCGATAAAGAAGTGCAATGAAGTGTAATGCTATCTGAAAAAAGTTAATTTGCATCACAACCACAGGGAAATGGTGGTACATTGTGATAAAAAAGATCTCTAAATAATGTCAAACGACATTCTCTTGATCGAAACATTCTGAGGTGAAAATTGAGTGATAGCTTCCAGAATTTCATAGTAACCTAAATCTCCGCACATTTTTTCCTTTCCAGTTTAAACACATATGTGAAAGATATCTATTCCATTTCTTTTTCCTGTTGTAGGTGCTTATATTCTCCCAGTTTACGACCATGTTGGACATCCTAGAAGACTTCTGTCATATGAGAAGCCATCAGTACTGTAGACTGGATGGAACCACATCATTAGAAGATAGACAGGAGAGAGTAAGTACCTATACAAACAGGGAAAGAGACACTTGCAATAATGCTTCAATTTTGTGTGATAATTTTCTCAGAGTGCACCAAGAACTATGAAGTCACAAAAGTTGCTCACACAACTACTGTAAATAGACTTTAGCATTTGTCTTGCTATGTCTGTGGATTGAACAAATATGACATGTAAAAACATCAAGTTTCTAAAACAGATTTTTAGGAAAACATATTGTGGTAGTTATTTGTAAAATTTGATCTGTTATAAGCATTGTTAACATCAAATAGATACATATTTCATGACATGCCTTTTTTAAGGATCGTTTTATTGTTCAAAGTGCGATCAGACAGGGATTTATGTTAAAAACTTTTGCAGATAGTTTGTGACGACACTTTAATCTCAGAAAGCTTCATGAACCATCATGTCCAGTATTCTCCATTTGTTTCATTCCCAATGTTTCCTTCTTTGTTCTTTCCTCAGATGAAAGAATTCAACTCAAACCCAGATGTGTTCCTCTTCTTGTTGAGTACTAGAGCTGGAGGCTTAGGAATCAACCTAACGGCAGCTGATACTGTTATCATTTATGACAGTGACTGGGTAAGCCGATTATCTCTATGAACTTTAATTATTTTCATAAAAATTTCTTGTAATGAGGGACGTCTGTGATATTGAACGAATTACAGTTGTTACTTGTATAAAATATAAAAACGTTTTAGTCAAGTCGGGCCTCACAGCCATATTTTAGTGCCAGTGGCATAGAAGTTAGTTTCATGTACAAAACCTATAGAAAGAAATGTTTTTAAAAAAACAGCCTCTTGACTCAGAACTGCTGGGCTTGGCTACACCACGGATAAAAATGTTGATTTCAACTACTTTTTTACCAACAAAGTTGATGGTGGTGATAGGTAATAAATAAAGATTAAAAAGAATCTTATGCCTTTAATGGAGTCCTTTGTCAACTTTGCAATTTCGACTTCTTTCTTTGTGCTATTGTGTTACTGCTTCTATCGATTGTGATCTTCATTTCTGTCTGTATCTTTATGCAGAATCCCCAGAGTGACCTTCAGGCTCAAGACAGATGTCATCGCATCGGTCAGACCAAACCAGTAATCATCTACAGACTGGTCACTGCTAACACCATAGATCAGAGAATTGTAGAGAGAGCTGCAGCTAAACGCAAGTTGGAGAAGATGGTCATTCATCAAGGTAAATATTTGATTTAATTTGATCTGAGCTTCCTTTAATATTTCTTTTTGATGGTACGTATTGCATACCTAATTGCAGGGTAAAACACATTATATTTAAACCGGATAGACTTTCACATAAACAAAGTTACTTCTAGATTGTTCTGTGCAATCAAGTCCCTGTTTGAATTTAAGAGAGCAAGCCAGTGTAATTTCTGCCAACTACTTTTAGGTGACAGTGCTTGAAATGAAAACAAATATAAATGCTCACTTTGCTTCACTATGAAATGTGATGTAAAACAATGAAATCTTTTTGTGTTTTTGAGTACTGTTCTTTTGTTGCATAGACAGTTTACTTGATTTCTTAAATGACATATAGAGATATTCCTTATGGAAATTCTCAATGCACACAACATTTATCATATGGTGTTTGTGTATTGTATATGCTTTGTCATTAACATCATTTAATTATAATCCTTTTCCTTGTTCTTATGCACTAGGTAAATTCAAGGGAGGCAAGAGCAACCTGGCCAAGGACCACAAAGCACTGCTCAACCCCAAGGAACTCTTGGCTCTCCTACGCTCTTCAGATCATAGTGGTGAGGTGAAGAACTGCCGAGAGAAGGGCATCAGCGACAGTGACCTCCAGCTCCTCCTGGACAGGTCGGACCTCAACGCAGAGCAGAAGAAGAGGAGCGATGAATTGGCCAAAGGGTCAAAGGTCAAAGAGGCCCAAGAGGATGTCAGTCAAGGTGCTCAAGAAATGCAGATGGAAGCCTGAAGAGAAACAAATCTTGGGATGTTCTGCAGTAATGTTTGTGTTTACTGTAGTTGCGCAGGGCCAGCTGGTTATGTTTTCACCATGCACAATGCCTAAAGTTCCTGGTATTGCGCATAGAATATACATGACAAGCTAGCCCTGCACAGATAAGGTGCGCATTTTCTGTAGAACATCCATAAAGCGAGACAGATTGTAGAACTGGAACATGTCCATCAGACAGAGACCCTACTAAACAGTACTATATACAGTATTATCAGGCCATTATTTCATCCTGTATCTTTTAACTCCATGTTCATTGATATTTTATGTGATGACATCATTTAAAAGATGTAAAGTGATTTGTATATGTCACCTTGAAAGTATGCAATGGAGGTGTAAAAGTTTGACATTAATGTATGTAACTACAGGTATTGAAATTCAAAGGAGGTACTGCTTGCCTATTGATGAAAGTTACTGAAGTGCCATTAATGATATATCATCTTGTTTTTATAGTACTTCAGTGTGAACCTGTGGAAATTGTCACTCTCTGCGACTTACTCTTTTACCCAACTTTAATTGATACAAGTAAAAGCAGCTGCTAATAACTCCAATTTTGATTCATTGGTGCTGAGTTATTCCAGATCTAAATGATAAAGAGGTTGACTAATATGACAAGTATTATGAAGAGAAAGGAGAGGTAGTTCAAGACATACACATAATAACATCAAGTATATAATAAAATTCATCTTCATGTAATTCCCTTGAGTGTAGGGCTTGTAGGAATGTATGTAGAAATAATATATTCGTACTCATAGGGAGATTAACTAGTTACAACTTCATGAAGAAGATGTATGAAATGTGGTTGTTTTAGAATTAGAGACGTTTTCATAGAGTGAACTTTAAACATGAAATGCATGATAATTGTCTTTTAAAATAGAGTATAGATGATATATTAACTTTTTTATCCTATTTAACATAAAAAATATTTAATGGACCCTTCTTATTGTCTTGTTTCTTTAAACATTTAATCTCTTTGTCTTACTGCTTGGCAGAATTAATTCTCTTGGATAACTATTCATGGTCCATAGCTATGTGGGATAATGGCGAACATAGAAAATGACAAAAGAAGAAAAAGAAACACAAATATGAAATATCAATGTTAATGGGATTGAATTTAGTATTTACTGACATTGCTGGATACTTTGATTAGATTGACTTTCAATCATACTCTGCTACGTTTAGGTTTTTCAACACGAAAATGAAGTATATGAATGCGCTTTTCTTCACCCTGTACAATCCGTCCTATTACATGCAATGTTATCATAGACAAACATGGATTGTGTGCTGAGAGCCAGAAGGGTGTTAACACGGATAAAGTATATGAGTGAGCACCATTGCAACTATCGGCAATCACATCATGAATGCATGAAGGCAAACATGGATGCAATTATTAAGGTTCATCTAGGTGGCATGTTAATACACTTATTATCTGCCGTAAAAGTAAAGTTTCATCCGAAAGAATCAATCAAAGACAAGACTCACGCAAAGATTACTAAGTCACTGTTTCCTGTCTTGTTATGAAGTGTTTGTCTCTTGTTTTTAGTTTAGTTCTTTTATTTTATCTTCCATTTAGTTCAAATTATCATAGATTCCTGTCTTGGTTGAAATTCTGAAAGTGTTTTACCATTTCTTTTCTTCTTTATATTCGTAGTTATTAAGTTCATTTTTGTTTCTATCAGTTTGTTATATTGTATGTTAATGTGTTTGTTATCATTATCTAACATTTGATTCTGTGAAAAGGCTTGTTGATCTATCCCATACATGGCCACTCCCACCTCAACTTTAATGATGATGATGAATTGTTTCCATATCACTCTCCATTCATATATGTGGTAAATGCACATGCTATTGGAACTTTGTTGTACATGTTTGTTCCACCTCACCGAGTTATATGATATTGAGCTTCCCTCAATGATTGACAGACCTCAACAACACAATTGTTTAGGCAGTAATATTGGCTCGTTCAGATATGATGTAGTAACTTCAAAGGTCCTATTCACTCAGCTCTGTGTAAGAAGATACTTTAATGTGAGGCAGATCACATGAATAGGTCATCAAACAAGCTGCTGTTTACTGTGTCCTATCTCAACAAAGCCTTAAATGTGATGTCAATTCATCAGAAGCCATGTGGGCAATGTCTATTGTATAGTTTTGCCAAAATGTTCCGGTGGGACCACTTTCATTGTTATTGTTTAAGTTGGACCATCATAAAATGCTAAAAGCAAATGGAACTCATGCTATTAGAACTTTGTTACCAAGAATTTATTTTTGAAAGAGAAGGATCTGTCCTCCAATTTGGTAGAAGGGATTTCCCCCATAATTCTCAGTTTTGAGAGGGTTGAACAATAACTCTCACAAGTATTACCGATACCTTAAATGTGCCTAAGAAACATCATCCAGGAAAACATGTACATATATATCAACATAAGCCTTATATTCTTGTAAATTCTTTGTCTTCCAAATGTGTATAACATGTGGTATTATCATTTATGCAGAACTTGTTTTATGTATGGAGCCTATTGTATGTATGTAATAAAAAGTTTTTCAAAGATCTAAGAAAAATTGTAATCTTTTATTCTTCACTTCGGAATATAACAAGATGCAATTTGACTGCCAATATATTTGATTTAATTGAAATCTGTGTGAATCAGTAGCCATGTTCAGAAGGGGGCTTCCTAGCTGGCATAAGTTAATCCCTGCAGCAGTAAATATCCCATAACTATTTGATTTACACCATTAGTTGTTCATATCCTCTTACTCGGACCAACTTGCCAAGATTAAGTCAACCCGACCTTCCACCAACCCAGTCTTACTCGGCGTAACTTCCAAAAGTCAGGGGCGGATTCAGGACACAATACTGAATTGCAACCGTCCCATAATTAAAGAAAATTAAGTGTCCTAAAATTTAAGACACTTCTTCAGTTTTATGCGAGTTGTAACTCAAATCAAAAGTTACGAATAATACTTATATATCTCAAATGTATTTATTAACAAAAGCGTGTAAGAAAATTACATGACCAATTCAAGCTCTTTTCAATACATTTTTATTCAATGAATATTTTTCATAGTTAGAATAACATTTCAAAACAGATCTTGTTCACATATTATCAGACTTACTTAGATTATCACATTTCAATAAATGTATCTCATTTAACAATTTTGTTTGAAGGAAGAACCTCATGAAAATTTAAAAAGAGATATGTGTAGCAGAGAGAATGATCTTATAGCTTTGGTAATTGAAAATGCAATCGGTGTATTTTGTATGAACTGTGATTAAACATTGTGAGTGAATGAGGTGATACCGTAACTAATTGATCCTCACTATTTTGTCCAAAATGTCCTGTTCCAGATTTTCTCTCAAGTATATCCATTTGATGAGTTTCAAATGAGTTTTTTTTTTTAAAGTTAGCACAAGTAATAAATACACCATGTCAAATATCATCTAGCATCAAGTTCTCCCTTCAAACAGATAATGCTCAACAAGATACGTCTGATTACATGTGAAATACAAAAAAAAACATAGTTGTAAGTTGATCAAATCATTCACACACCTACACGCAACAGTGGGGCTTTAGCCCCTTACATCCCAACTCAAAGGGGACTGCATTGAGGCCAATACTAGATTTGTCTGCCATTCAACAATGTAAATGCACATCTACAAAATATTTTTACATATGCCGCCTGTGAGAAAATGAAGTACATATAAAACGTGTAGATATGTAATCACCTTTCATACACATTTTCTTACAAGCAATCATTGAACCTTCCACTACTCTAGGATGTACTCCTATGTCTCAGCACGATACCTTGTTTATATCTTAATTATCTATATATGTAATTACCAATGTAGTTCAGGTGATTTTTTAGATTTTAAAAATTCTTTCTAATGAACATTTCAACTTGAAACAAAGCATTCCAATTTATACTTTTAATCTTACATCAGGTCATAGCTTTATGAATCCCCCCTTCAATATGATTACATTTATTCATCAAGCTAATTTAACATGCTCAATTTTAATGCTCTCCCTTTCCCAATCTCTACCTCTTGCTGTGCCATGAGTCTTAGCATTTTTCATGCTTTTGACGAAATATGAACCATGTTTATTTTCAAATGTATGTGTACCCGTTTACAGAGACATTGCATGCCATAAAGAAATCTACTTAAAAAGTAGGACATTTTGCAGTTTTTTTACCCATTTGCACAAACTGTTGGATAACATTCAACAAATTATCTTAGTCTTTTACATTCTGTAACTAAACTGTTTGCTGGTGTTCATGTAAAGATGAGAAAGGGTCTTGCAGAAATGATCAACCTTCCGTCTAGGTTGGCGTTTCTTAAGCCCACTGCACACCATACAATCCAATATTGAAGAAATTGCAATAGCATTTCATATCAACATCCAAACTTTAAAAATATTAATAATATGAATAATAGAGGATCTCAATAATCATATGCTGAATGAAATCTTAATTTCAAGGGATTTCAAGCTTCTTTAGAGATGGAAAAGCTAAATTGGCTCAGAATCGAAGTGATGTCAGACTATGAGTGTGATTGTTTACTATTTGAAGCCGATAGGCTTTAATTCAGACTAGAATTCTTAAATGCACTAAAAAACTGATTGTTAGTGAAGAAGATATTTCCATATCTAACGTAATTGCCATTTCTTCAAAAATTGGATCGTAGTCAGATCGTATAGTGTGCGGTGATCTCAAGGTAACTAGACTCTTGGATTGCTTGATTCATGTAAAAAATGGAGATGTAATGAATTAATGATTGCTTGCAAGATCAATAAATAATCAACTTTTAACCTGAAATCAAGTCTGTCTGATACATTGGCACAGCAAGAATTGGAAGTGGTACGCGGACATGGTAACAGTTGTGGGCTAAGTTAAATGAATTCACAACATCATACATCTTACAGTTTAGCTTAGTTATTTGGGGGAAAAGCATTTGCAAGAAAATGAGAAATTACTGTGGAGTTATATCAGCACTAGAAAATCCTTGTATGATCTTGTGACTCTCATGCTGGAAATTGTATCAACTTCTTGTAAAGCACCTCAAATATATGTTCTCATAAATATTATCCTCTAAGAAGAAAGGTGGCATAGGATGAAATGCACAAGTGCTCTTTCCCTTGTTAATCTGGAAGATGAACTTGAATTCATCTCGTATCTTAACGAAATCAAATTCATGCTATTGGAAGGGATGAAAAAGTGTTGGTGCATAGCATGTAGAGCTGATTATGAGTCAGTAGTACCAAATAACAGTTCCTTTCTAGAAAAAAGTATATGCAAACTCTACTTGAGAATCTCAATACCTCAGTCACACTGTATGACTGACTCTTGAATCCAAAATCGACTGATTTCTGGCCATTCACAGTAATGAAATGTTACTTTTAGTTTGCACAAGACATGACAAAACATATATGTTAGCACTGTTGAATACTGAGTGCATGTCCATTCAACAAATAAATATTACACACAGGATAAAGTTTACCTGAATGGTAATTAATGGGACATTTGTCAACAGTTTAGTATATGAAATTGATACCAGAAATAGCCATTTATTTTAATAATGCAATATGCCCCATGAAGATGATAATTCTGACTTGTTGTGTGCTTCACAAGCAATGAAAGAAAACCAGTGCAAAAAAAAGGATGATTAAGGATGATGACTTGAAACTTTCCGGTCATTGTATTAATGGATTTTATGTACATTCCATTATAATTGTCTTTACGGTCATGGTATTAATGGTCGGTATTAGTTATAATTGTTTTTCCTGATGTGGCTTAACAGATTGCAACTAAGAAACAGGTTGACTTGGCGTGCAGGTTTGAACTTTCCAGAAAACAAATATACTTGTGACAAACCACAAATTAAAACTATTATGAATATGAAACTAGATGAGAAATAGATTATGCAATCCTCTTTCTACAAAAACATATTTATTGAGAAGGCAACTGCCAGCCCAATAATTAGTTATTGGCATGTTTATTGAAATACAAATTATATCAGACTATTAATCTTTTCCAATAGTCCAGGACAAGAAGGGGAAAGAGATAATGCCATACCATTGTGTAATAGGTTCTTACTAATGATGACAGGATCATTTTCATTGTGTTATATCAAGCATCTGCCAACATAACATGTAGAAGGGGGATTTGAGTTTCAAAACGTCTACTAGAAATGTAATGGCCTTGCTTTATCAATGTCCACCACGCAGCAGCATCGATTTGCTTTCCTGTCACTAGTAGTACAATATAAGAGTCTTTCTTTTCCTTCTAGTGATATAAATCCATGAACTAGAATGTTTCCTCGTCATCTTCAGCCATCTCCTTTGCTAGTTCAAAATCCTGTTGCTCTCGTTCTCTCCTATCCTGAATTAAGAAATTAGAAGGAAAAAAATTAAATAGATAAATAAACAAGTCAACACAAAGCATAGCATCCCCTCACCGGGTACAAATGGCCTATGTATGTCAGAAATTCTATCAAAATCCACCCAACATTACTTAGGTTATCAAACGGAAACCACATTTTCGGATACACAATTAGCCATTTTTGCATATTTGATGATATATGACCTTTGACCTTCATTCTCCGAAATCAAACTTAGGATATATTGATACTATGTACCTTCATATCAAATTCATTAAAATCTGTCAAACAATACTAGGGTTATCGAACGGAAACCAGATTTTTTACGGACAGACGGCAGCGTTACTATATCCCCTCCGACTTTGTCGGCGAGGGGATAATAAACAGAACTTGCAAGAAGATTTAGAAAAAGCCCCATGGAAAAAGAAGGTATAGAATGGATTAAAAAACTCATAAAGGGATTTGAAGAAAAATTACGTTACAAGATATATCTATCAAAAGAGATGGCAAACATCTTACATACTCACCTCGGCCGATTCAAGATCCTTGTTATATGACTTGGGAGGAAACCTCATTGCCTGTGTATTTAAAGAGAATACAATTATTGTATCATACACATATACACTAATAGTTCCCACATCTATTAGTAAATGATATGGGTGCATTGTAAATTATATTTAGTTCTAATATTTAAGAAAGTGTGATTTGATATGAACTTCTTCACATCTGAGAGGTATACAAGCAGGAATATTTCAGTCAGGTGAAGAGTCTGAGATTAAGAAAATATCGATCACAAATAATCAGAGAGCTGTATCTGGAAATGAACTCAAACATTACACCCCCAGCCTCCCCATCTAATTTCTTCATCCCAACAAGAACATGTCATTTATCACTCTCAATGAAGGAAATACCAGAAAATTTAAATGATCGTACCTTGACTGACTGATTATGAATATCGAGGCAGAAGCTGATTCGTTGGTGGAAGGCAGTCATAGGTTCCCTGGTGGTGTAGACATCAACTGTCTCTTTGGACTGTACATAGCCCTTCTCATGGTCTATACTAGCCTCTATCACGCCATCCCTGATTGCCTGGTAGAAGAAGACCAAAAGGAGAAGAAGCTCCAACGTTACAAGAAAAACCAATGTTTCATAGGGGATTCTTAAGAAATTAAGGTGTTACGTACACATCATTTGGAGATTATATACTTCCATCACCCCTTTTTACCCCCCCCCCCCCCCCAAAAAAAAAAAAAAAAATTGTATAGCACAATATATTGTTATACCTTTGAAGAAAAAAAGTCTTAATGTGCTTTATATCAAGAGAAAAAGAGAGAGAAAGAGAGAGAGAGAGGAAACAAAAAAAACAAACAAAAAAAACAGTGAATCAACCATACTGAATTTAGCCCATTCTCACAATTTTTGTTGCTGAAAAAACCCACTATTTACGACATGTGAAGTGACAGTTTTCACTCTTTTGGCATAAAATATTTTTAATTCTGGAGCCAGCATGTTATTACCTTGGCTACAATGAACTCTGCATCCTCTGGACTGTCAAGCTGAAGCTTTTTAGCCACATCTGAGAGGGAGATCTTTGAGTAGGAGAGACTGATCATACGCACACCGGTCTTGATCACATTGTGATGAAGTCGAATGATTAACGTGTAGGTGAACTCAGACTGAAACTTTGCAGCAAAGTCCTTCAACATCTGGTTGAAAAGACCAAGGTTACCGCTTCTTACAGCTTTATGGAAAAAGACATAAAGAGGAGAGATACTGGTTAAAATGGGTTTGAGGATGATTTAAATATTGTAAAATCAAAACATTCATGTAATCATAGCTAATGTCAACTGGTTAAAGATTTACTAAATTTTCCAATTAAGAGAACCTAAGAACAACATAAATTTGATATAAAAAGACACACCTCTAAAGGAAACAATTCTGAATCCAAAAAGGAGTAATGTTCTTTACTTGAAAAAAAAAAGCTCTAGCAAGATTACCCTGTAGGTATGTTTTCATACACTAATTGAAATCTTTGATGAAATAAAGGTGTTCCTGACATCTGTTCTGGGCTCTCTTTTGTAAGAAAGATTTAAGGTTAAGGTTAGAGTTACAATTGGATTTTAGTTTAGGGTGAGGTAAAGTGTACAGACTTGAAGTAAAGAATTTGATTACTGTAGTACATTGATTGCAGAGCAGTTGTTGTCAAACCAAAAAAAAAAAGATACAGCCAGAAACAAACGTCAGATCATACAGAGCTGATTTATGCACTCAGATAAGGAGGGTATTTCATAGAAAGGAAACAAGCATGTTAGGTTGAATCTTACCTTGAGTTAGCTGGAAGTATGGTACCAGTGTTTTCTTGTAAGCACTCTGCCTGAAGATACTCCTATCAGGAATCTCTCCCAGTAAGAGCTGAACAACAATGGCTAGTTTGTGAACCTAAGAAACAAGAATTAAACCAAATGTTAACAATCTTACAAACATCAAAAATCTACAAGAAGTTCCCTAGCAATTGGATCATTTTTAATAAAAAGTTAAGAGCATAATAACTTTGAAGATATGCGTCTACATTTCAAGTGAATTTACAGATAAAGTTCCCAAAATACAAACTTGTTTTTCAATAACACTCTGCATTCAGACGATAAGGTGTGCAGAGTCACATGAAAAGTACTAATATTCTAAATTTTATTAAGGATAATGGACTCACCATTCTTGACCATCTTCTATTGACATACTGGAAACCAATATATCTTCTAATCGAACAATTCTGATGGTTGACTTCACATGAAACCAAATTTTGTTTCACCAGTAACCAACCTACTCTTCATATCTAGCTCTAAGAATAAAGGGGAGTTGTGATGAGGTGTTTAGTTTGTTGTACTTACAGTTTGCTTGAATCCTACAGCTGTGTACTGTGGTGCTTTGCGGAGAGCTTGGATAAGGTTCTTATGTGCTTCTGAATACTCCAACTGGATTGCCTTGATTCTTCCTGAAACACAGATTGAACAAACAACAAAATGACAATAGGTTGATAAACGAATTTCTACTTTCTGGCCTATAATTAGAAAAGCAAATAAAATATTTTTTTATCTTATTTCGTGCATGGTACAAAGACTTTCTTTTTTGAATTGACAGTAGTTTTGTTACCTGTGTAAAAAGATGATACGTTCAAACATTATCGAGAGGAAATAGTTACATTCCCTCTGAAAATGTGAACCTTCTATTTGTGATAATGCAAACAGTGAACGTGTAGGTACATTAAAAGTCTATATTACACATGATATTACACAATTTTCTTTTTGCTATATGGTACCTGGCAGTATTTGTTCTCCCTTACCTAAGTAGTATAGAAACCTTGCCCATTCATGATTTGATGCCTGCTCAGGAAAGGTTGACTTTGCAACAAGCTTATCTGCCTGGTCGTACAAGTTGTAGTGGAGGTAGTTTCGCAACAAAAGGTTCTGGAGTGTGGCTTGTGCTTCAGCATTGTGCCTCAGTGTTGCAGTCCTCAGCTTGGCATGTAAAAAACTAAATAAAATAATGCAAAAAAGATAATAAGGGACTATTGAACAAACCTATTTTCATATGAAAAAGAATAACAGTAAATAAAATAAATTCTATCCCACTTTCACAATCATCAGTACTGATGACCTGGGGCACCTGTGACTGGGAAGGGAAAGCGAACTTAATCACCATAATGCATAGGTTTCTCCTCCTGAAAAACAAAAATGAACAGGAGGTGTTGGTGTTCAACGACAGCATTATTTCTGTGACACCCCTGTTTCCCCTTACTCTTTAGCAGAGGTGCATTGGGTTTTTAAAGTGTATAAGGTATGACTTTGCTACACAAAGGACCTCTATTAGTTTCCTATCCAAAGGATGGAATTTATCACCTTGTCTGCGTATATGAAATAAGGGAGGGGCATGTTTGCAGTCAATGGCTTTGAACAGCCATCAGCCTGGGCTAGATATAAACCCATGATCTCTGGTTTGACAGACAGATGCTCTACTCAGCCAACTCGCCTCCTTATTGTTGGAATTTGGTTCTCAAAGCTTGTAAGGTAAATTAAATTCATAGAAACAATGTTTCATACAGATTTCCCTGCTTTCTTACCTTCTAATTTGGTCAAGTTTGCCGATCAGCTCATAGGCCCTTGAATGATAGAAGTACGCCTTTGCAGACAGCTGATCTAATGAGCGCCTGTTCTGAGCATCTAATTTTTTGACAAGCACATCCGAACACTTGACAGCCTGAAAAATCAATGCAATATGCACAAACATATCATCAAATTTAATAGAGTGTTTCATATGATGATGATTATTCTGGAACTTTTCAACGATGATTCATAATTTCCTTTCAAATACAATTAGCTGAAAAAGATGACAGATAAAAGAAATATATTCTTTAATGGTTATGAATTCAAATACCACCTTTGGCATTTAAATTTCTACTTCATCAATTCCAGGTTTTATTAGCACACATCTTTCCTTCTACTCAATCAAATGCCTTGATGGCTAGTTGATTGAAAGCTGCTTAATTTACATGTAATATGATTTGTATCTGTAGAATCAGAATTATTTACTTATAGTTCTACCCTACTTTAACTGGACCAAATACACAAACACAGCTAGGTGTACAAAAAGGAAATGTCCTTCATAACCACCCACTGTGACCTAGCATTCTTACCTCACTATATCTCTTTGAATCTAATAGGTGAACAACGACAAGAAGATGAAGATAGACGTCAAGCTCTGGAAGGAGAGGAGCATGTGCTGCTTTACCAGTTCTGGGTCGGAACAGGATATTGTTCTCTGTGTCCATGGGCTTTTCAAAGATGAATGTTAGTGGAGGAAAAAATTGTTAACTATGAAGTAAATAGGTAACTGAATTTACTCATTTCAGAATCTTTTCCCACAAAAATAAACGAGGGATTTGTAATTTCTTTTAAAGGATTTTTACAAAGTTTTCAAGATAACATGCAAAAAACAACAACAAAAAGAAATGAATAATAAAAAAATATATAAAAATACATGAATAAAATATTGATCACTGGTAGAAGCTTTGGGACTTATTATCCCTCAGTAAAATTGTGAATAAAAAATGTGTCAATGTCAAATATGAATTCTGTATCTGATTAAGGCAGCGTGAATGATAGCTGCATGCAGCATTTGATATAAAGCTGTGAATAACAATAGTACACATACTCTGTCTAGGTTGTGTAAAGTCATGAAATATAATTCAATTTACTTTCTAGAGGCAGAACTTGGGTTTTTAATTACAAGAGATTATAATAGTCACTATCCTCACCTCATCAAGATAAGTCAGCAGGATTGCCTTGCTTGTATTTCCATTGGGAATGTATCCGCTGATAAGCTTGCGTAACACAGTGTGGTTCAATTTGCGCCTTGAGGATGTGAGGGCTCTGATAACTCTGGCCATGTAGTTCTTCTCCTTGGAAGAGACTGCTTTTTCAATATGCTTCACATGCTCCTTGAAATCTGTAATACAGCATATATACAAAATCATAAATATGTTGCATTTATTTTGAAAATTAATAATATAAGAAATAATGTGCTTCAAATAAAACATCCAACGAAATTATTTGTGTTCTACTACATTTATTGTTTCAGAAAAAACAACATTAGTTTCCTCTGGATTTGTGACCATTTCATCCATAATCATAGACACTGTGCTGTTAGTGAAGATTTACTCAGATTTTTAAGAGAATAGTTTCTTTAGAAAAAGACATTTACATATATTTCTTTCTTTTAATAAATGTTGTACATGTACATGCAATTTACATGCAATTTACATTTTTTTACCAAGATCATTTGTAAGATATAAAAATTTTACTATTTGTAGTCTTACAATTCTCAGTTCAGTTCTATTATCATGAACTCAACATTACATTTACAATATTAGTGCTTCGTGTCATGGATGTTAGCATAAAATCCTCTACAATTTTCTCTACACAACATCTTGCTCACGATAGTAGGGTTGTGGTATCAACCAACATCTTCTTTTTTCTTTACAATTACATTGAGCATTTTGTAACTTTAAGAAAGCTAAATGTAAGTGAGAGCCACACAAATATATCTTAAATGTACGGTAAGGAAACACAATTCATCCTTTTTCATTTGGTATGCACCATGCATGGATTAAACCATGACAAAATGGATTGTACAGGGTATGTGTACATTGTATTCTTTTATAACCAAATCCTGCATTCTCTAATTTCTCTTTGGAATGAAATAAGGAACAATTTAAAGAAATCTAAGTTTATAAAGGTAGTTTATCACAATTTTCAAATATATTGGGCCTCAACCTCTTTGCAGTATTTGGACAAATATGGTAATTGAATTACATTAGTGGGTAGAGAATGGGAGAAACCACAAAGTATATATAGATAAATACAAGCAGTAAAATATGGCCCTCTTGCATAAAAAAATGGCATGTAAACGCAACTTGGTTTTTAAACAAGCAGGACTAAGGCTGTGCACAACCATGTAATGAGGTAACCGAGTACACTCCCAGGCTTACAAGCGAATATTTCGACGCCATGTTTAAAAAAAAAAAAATTTGATCTTTTTTTTGCCACCACCATACTACGGGAGCAGTGTCCCAGGTCTGTCTCCGAAAACTCACACAATTTTACTTCGAGTTGCAGTTGAAGGCGTCGATTTAATAATAATAATAACAGTAAACAATGCTGTTTTAAAAACCAAAGATGGCAGAATAATCCATTTTCCTCCGAGTCCAAACAGAAATCCAGACATTTGGTCCCAGTTCTGAGTGGTGAGTTTGACAGTGATTGAGCTGGGAAACATTTTTACGGACTGTACGATGCCGGCGCTCTCCCTGGCACGGGTAAGCGTGGGAGTGTACTCGAGTACCTCATTACACGGTTATGCACAGCCTTAGTATTCAACTACTCGTCGCAGCCCTAATCAGGACCATGTTTCAGAGTCAGACTTGTGTTACTGTTTTGTGGGTTGAATATATATTTTCTTCATGTAACTTTTCACGTAAGAGCACCCAGATTATGATTGAAAATAAAATATTAATCTGTTCTTAAAGAGGTAGTTTCATGTATATACAATCTAATTCTAAACATCATTAAATCAATTCCTAAACTAATCATTTTAAGAAGTACTATTATGATCAACCCTATCAGGATCAGAAGGATTGTAAGAAGAGAAAAAAAGAGGAAGAGGAAGAAAAAGAGGAAAAGGAAGAGAAAGAAGAATGAAAAGAGGAAGAAAAAAAAGAAAGAAAATGAAGAAGAGGAAGAAAATGAAGAAGAGGAAGAAAATGAAGAAGAGGAAGAGAAGGAAGACATGGACGAAGAAGAATAAGAGCAGGCCTTAAATCCCAATATTTTTAGGGCAAGGCCACTTTTCTGTAGGACACATTCCTATATTACAGCACAAATAGGAAGAATTGGAAAGGGCAAAAAAAAATCTCCAAGGCCAATGAGAGGTGCATTGAGGCCAATCAAAAGGGCATCCATGGCCATGGCCTTGGATTAATTTCAGCCCTGGAAGAGGAAGGAGAAGAAAAGGAGAAAGAAGAAGAGGAAGAAGAGAAAGAAGAAGAGGAAGAAGAGGAAGGAGAAGAAGAAGAGGATGGAGAAAAAGGAGAGGAAAGAGAGGAAGAAAAGGAAAGGAGAAGGAGAGGAAGGAGAAGGAGAGGAAGGAGAAGAGGTTGGAGAGGAAGGTGAAGAAGAGGAGGAAGAAGAATAGGAAGGAGAGGAGGAAGGAGAGAAAGAGGAAGAGGAAGTAGAGGAAGAGAAAGAAGAGAAAGAAGAGGAAGAAGAGGAAGAGAAAGAAGAGGAAGAGAAAGAAGAGGAAGAAGAGGAAGAGGAAGAAGAGGAAGAGAAAGAAGAGGAAGAGAAAGAAGAGGAAGAAGAGGAAGAAGAGGAAGAAGAGGAAGAGAAAGAAGAGGAAGAAGAAGAAGAGGAAGAAGAAGAAGAAGAAGAAGGAGAAGAGGAGGAAGAAGAAGAAAAAGGTGATGATGATAATGACAATGATCCGAAACTGGCAAAAGGCAACAACTAAAAGTTCAGGTCTGTATGTAACTAGACCTTTAGAATTCTGTACTATGGTAATGGCGATTCAACATATTAATACAATGACAAATCTGTTAAGAGTAGTGTTTCATGAAACCGTCATAAGAAACAAGTTCACGAACATCCCATTGAAATGCGTGTTAAACAAATAGTCTAGGCCTAATATTAGGTCTAGACTCTACACACATTTCAATGGGATGCCGGTGAATTTTGTACTTATGACGGAGTTTCGTGAGACCCTGCCCAGTTGACTTTCTTCTTAAGTATTTGTGACAAATTGTTATATAGCTACAAAAGTACAATACAAATTCAATAGCCATTCAAAATATTGCATGCAATTAAATAAAATACTTAAATAGCCAATCGGAATTCTGTGAATTTTCAATGCAATGGTGACAAGCGTTTTACAATCTCAAGTCGTCAAGAGCTTCTAGTATGGCGGTGTGACCAAAGTTCGCGCGTGACCAAAGTTCGCTTTCTCAAAAAATCGGTAAGATTTCGAAAATCTGATATCACCAATGGAAAGAGGGTCATAAAATTACCCAGAAACGAAATTTTCTTTAGAATTGGGTGCGAAATTGTGAAAATATTGACAAAAGATCGGCAAATTTTGCAGTTATTTGCGTCCGTTCCGAAAAATTATCAACTTACCGATAAGGGTCTGGAAATCTTCATTTTGAGATCAGAAATCCTCAAAATTGTAAGTAAAGAGTGGTACTAACTGATTGTACGATATCTTGTCTTGCAAATTATGATATTACCTTATTTTTGACGGATCGCATTTTTTGATAAATCAACTGTAAACCACCGTGCGTGAAGTTAGGTCTCATTGTTTTTATGACTTTTTTAGATGCAGCGCGCACGCACGATCGGACATCGAATTTTTAGATCGCGATATCTCCGAAATCCTTCGACGGTAAATTTTTCTAGTTGAACCAATCTGTAGTAAAAAACTTTGCCGTCCATTTGGTAATAATTGAAATAAATAAAGTTGTGTAGAATGTGAGAAATCATAGATCGAATATCACATTTTGTAATATGTTCTAAAATGTGCGCGAACTTTGGTCACCCCTTCATAAATTAAAACATAAAGATCAGTTCAAATGCTCACACAATCTCGCCTTATCCTGCTGAAACTAAGTCGACTCTAATTCTAAACTGCAGTAGGGGCCTAGGGCCTACTACGGCCGCTCACTGTCGCTCACACTCGACGGGCCGGAGTTGTTAGGCGGGGAGCGGCTAGCGGCAGGGCAGTAAAGATCAACCAACCGGCCACACACGGACGGCAGCGGAAGATAAAGAATGAATCAGCATTATCACAATTGATGACAAAATACTCGTTTACTTGTTTTTCCGTATGTTCCTTTACTAAATATTACGTTTAACATACCAATTGGAATATATCATTCAAGGAAATCACCATATAACGACTCATTTCAAACTTCATAAATGTGTTTTTAAAGTTTAAAACTGATGATTCACCTTCTAAAGTGATCAAATCACTCTCTTTCTTTCCAGTTGCAGTTTTCTCGTCAGTCGCTTCTGGCTTCTCAGATTCGTCCTTCATTTCCACATCATTCACCTTTTTAGCAGCTTTAGAAGCCATGATTATACAGGCTTGATTAGCAGCAAATTAAAAAGCAAGTTTATGCCCCTGTAATGTCAATCTAATGCAAGAAAAACTAGTCAAATCGAAAATTTCAGAGTTCGATACAAACTGCGGCACAAAGTCTTCGACGAGATACACATGAGTGACATGCAAAATGGCTGGAAATTGTAATTGTGCGCAAGCGCGATGACCCTAAATTAGTCTCGATCCCTGACAGTACTGTTTGCCCACCAGCGATAGAACTACCTAGTCTGCACACACAGACTCCAATGTACTAGCTTCTCAGCTAAATGATATAAACATGAGCAAAATTGGTGTATTTATTCTTCTACAGTCTGGATAAATTCAGATATATGACATTTTTTCAATACAATATTTATTTTAAAAAAGGAAAGGAAAGAAAGAAAAAAAATTATGCAGGAGGTTTAGCGATCTTGAATTAGTACGTGTGCCGCCCTACGATACAATTTTTGTTGTTTATAGCAATTTCCAATATCTGTCTCTTTAGTATCCATAAGCCAAGTATATAGTCTAGAGAATTAGAGTGGCGTATAAAGATTCAGATTGTTAATATATAAGGGGAGAAGGGTGGCGTCTGGGTCTATATTATTGAAATATATACATGTAGGCCTATACGTCAACCTTTTTTAGGGGGGGGGGGGGGGACCGTTTTCAATATATTTTTCATATCCTTATATTAAATGTGTATGTTTGACCTTTGTGTATGAAAAACGTGCATTTAAAAAAAATAGTTTATTTTTATTTTTTTAATCCGTTTAAAATCATCTTCTTCTGAAATGAGTCTGGAGCGTTGGGAAGATTATAGGCCTAGATTGTGAGGGTTTTTCAGGAAAAAATATGTTTTGGCCTTTGAATTAATGATTCTTTGTAATACAAATACGGTTAAAAATTCACAAAAACAAACAAACACTCCGAAACCCCATTCCCCCACACTATTAGTATTAGGCCATTTTTAGTCTGTTCTCTCTTTTAAAACCTTAACTCATTCTTATGCTAAAAAAGAAGAGAGTGAGTGAGTGAGTGAGTGAGTGAGTGAGTGAGAGAGATAGAGAGAGAGAGAGAGGGATAGATAGAGAGAGGAATAGTTTCCGACCTACAAAATAGACCTTTAAAACAAGAAAAGGGTCATGTCATATGAACATTATGCAAAAATATGAAAAATACAAAAAAAAGGCAACAAAACAACACAACCAAACGCTTTCTACAGGGCAACACAATCCTTCCGTTCGCCAACAGCTGATAATCTTCAATAAGCCTGCAAAAGTCATGACGTACCATAACAGTACAACAATATTTTACATTATTAATATTCAACAACGATGTGACGATAAATGAATCCATGAATCATTGTGTAATATCAAAGTAAAGCAACAATGTGTAGCGGCCATTTAAATAAATTGTACATTAAAAATAAACTAACAAAAAAATGCATACAAAGTGCCATGATAAGAAATATAATGTTCATATAACATAACATACGTAATATATCTGATATTCTGGTATGGTTAAGGTGATTCTCTGTAATAAATGATTAATTATGATGGTATCTCTGGTCGTCATGTCAAAGCGTTTGAATCTGTCATCAAATCTATAAAAATATCATAGTGCTTGATCATGAATGTGAGAGTTGGAGACAACGCTTCCAATACAGTGCAGGTACTTTTCGTACAGATGCCCAGGTGCATTTTAATCGTATTTCCGAAGGTTGCTCATAACAAACACAGAAATTTGAGAGCGGGAGGATTATGACTCCGAAAGTGGATTAAGATTCGTAATATCACACATTAGGTGCATTTTATACTCAGAAAAGCCCATGATTAGGGTTCTATGTCATCTCGTGAACTCTTCTTCATTCTTATTATTACAAACCACCCGTGTAAGAGGCGTAGCGCCACCTCTTGGCTGTTGTTATATAGAGTCAATAAACGTGACAGTTACGAGTAAGAACCAGTCCCGCCCCCCCCCCCCCCCCCCATTCCGAGAACGGACGGACCCCATGCGTGTTGCCAAAATGTCCGGTAAAGGGGTACTTTTCGTGCGACAAAGTCCGGCCCGAGAATTGTAAAAAAGGGGTGTATTAACATTCACCCGGAGATTTCTTTAAAAGGGGGTGTTTTTTTTTTTGCTTTATTGTCATAGTCCTCAATATAGGGCCTTTGTAATCTCGTATCCTAACATGTCATCGTCACTTTAGAGGGCCTTCATTTTTAAGGTTTACCCGACAAGAAAGAAAGAAAGGGAGAGTAACCGAGAGAGAGAGAGAGAGAGAGAGAGAGAGACTGAATTAGAGTCATGGGGAAAATAGAGGAATGTTAGCTAAATTCTCTCAAATAAATTTCTATCAGACATATTTTCTATCACTTTGTGTATATTCACACGCTCTGTAGCCCCCCCCCCCCCCACACACGCACACATTGTTTGTCCATGCACTTCATAGTATAAAAACACTTAACGATCCAGTGATGCCGCTAACGTCATACCTATATGGGTACAGATCGAGCTGGAATCTCGACACACAGGTCCAAAGGCCTTCTTCTTGACTATGATATTTAAATTCATGCGATTTACAAACAATAAAATCTTGCAGACTCATGATCGTAATAACCTTGTCCCTAGCAAACATGGCCTTCTGATTTTACCATAGACGATTATAATATGTTCTCACGGTCAGCTCCAACTTCTTTATCTCTAAAAGCGATTCTTATATTTTGGAAGCTCACAATCTCACGACCGTTCTGATGATTATCTTGTACAGATAAAATTTCAGAAATCTTAATTAAATGTGTACATGTAATAATTAAACTAGTCTTATTAAGTCACACAACGTCGACTTTTTTTCTGGGGCGGATCCTAGACAATTAAGGCCCCTAAACACGCTGAATGCATTATGCTGTTCTTCTGAACACAACTATGGAAGCACACCCCGATTTTCTTCCTAATCCCAACCCAAAATAATTGATCCTTTCATAGTGCTTAGGGGAAAAATTGGAAAAAATTGTACTCTAAGCATACTTTAGGTCCTAAATACACTTTTTACGATTGCATCATTGCTACACAACTATTGTTCTTTTCAAAAAGGGAGGAAAGAAATCGACTCTTGCTTCTTGATCTGTTGAATTTGTAACCGAACCTCGTTTTTTCAGCAATGCCCTTTAAGAGACGTCTCTGGATCAAAGTCCAATATTAAGTACAACCCCCCTCCTCCTAATTTCCATTCGATTTGACATTTGAGGTCGCAATCCAAGACCGTGTTTATGAACCATTTCAAAAGATGTCACGCATGGTATGTCAACATAGTTTGAGAAAGAATAAAACAAGCCATGCACAGATGTATGCTCTGAATACAGCAATGACTTGCAGAACTGAGCATGTTATAAAGTACATGTAGTCCTAGCTATTCACTCCAGCAAAGCATAGAGAGTCAATGCTAATGCGTATTGACCTTATACTGCACTACGTGTTAATAAGCAGCATTTGAATACATGGATAATTAACACACTCATAACACACATATGCACACAATTATACCGATGCGGCTGATCGGCAAGTTTGACAGTGGACTCACAATTTGAATTTTTAAAATATTCTTTCTAACATCGGAAAGTTGAAAAAATTGTATTTTACTGCTATTTAGGTTTCAACAATCGTCACTTAAGTACCTATTTTTAGTGAAATCAGTTGAGTTGTACAGTGGTGTTTGAAATGTTGAGAATCAATAGCACAGCTTTTAATATACAGCTAGGATAGTAATGCACCTATGTGTGGGCCTATTATTGTGTAGTGCTGTTTGATGCTCATTTTTTGTTGATCAAGATGGGTTTGGCGTGGGCTCAGCCATTGATGACTGATGAGGGGGCACTAGAAATATTAATTGACTGGATGAAGATGCGAAAGGCATTACGTCTCCTTTTCTAATTGTCTCCCTCCTCTATTTCCTTCTCATTCTCCGACTCTCTCTCTCTCTTTCTTTCTCTCTCTCCCTCTCCCTCTCTCTACATAGGCATAAATATCTATGTTTCTATCTGGGTCTTTCTCACTATGATTCTCACTTTCTCTCTTTTGTCGCCATTCGATTCGGGGGCATGTGCCCCCCCCCCCCCCTCCTTTGGCTGCGCCATTGTCGATCTATATTATTGGCCTTTTCCCTTACTAGCTTACTGTAGGGGGAATAGTGGATTTGCATTTGCCCCCTCCCCCTGAAGAAATACCAGTCAACCACTCTCTCCCACCCCCGCCAAAACAACAACAACAACATTAACAATTTTCAGAGAATGGGTGAACAGTTACCAGCAAAAAGTGCACAATTTCTTATTCGTACTGAGCAAACTGGACTTTAACAAGTGGCAAACAGTCATCGGTCTATTATCGTATAAAGGAAACATACCTTCACGCGATTGGGCAATGTTCCCTATTTAATGTTTACCTTTCGATTGTCTGCTAGCTTGCTACGTGGATATAGACTCTTAACTTGTCGTTCATTTGAGAGTACGCTTTCTTCAGGGTAGAAGGAATTTATCCAGGATCTAGGATATTATTGGGAATATTATATCAAGGATCAATCTAAAATAGAATGTAAGTACGCATTTATTTGTTAATGCTCATAATAATGATAGGATGGGAATAAATAAGATTCCCACATTTATCTGTATTCCAACTCGTTTCGCTACTGTTTAGATGCAAAAGAGTTTTTTTTTCTCCGATTGCACTGACTAGCATAGTAAGTTTAATTTTGGTAAATTTATGAAAGAGTTATTATGTGCTTCATATTTATCATTTCATTTTGAGCTTAGACATTGACAATCTTGATTGCGCATACGTTATCCAGTAGCGGTTTTAGAGGGCTTCGGGGGCTCAATAACCTCCCCCAACAAGAGAAAGAAAAGATGTCACGAGGCACATGTATAAGATATATGTAAGAACACCCAATCTTTCCCTATAGCCGCTTTCGACGTCATCCCATGATGAACGAAACGATTTGTGAATAATGGAGAAAATGTTAAAACTCTAGAATCTGCGTCTGCAATTTTAGTTTGATTGTTGACACGTTGGTCAAACAATATGAAGACGATCTGGATCTGACTAAGGAGATACTGGAAAAGCCTTTAAACTCCCTGATCTGACATTATACTCCGGGCTATATCACACCAAAGAGACAGAGTATTTTTTATATTGTTGTGATTTACACTTGGATTGGTTTAATTCTAAATCAAAGGTCTAGGACTCTATAGGGTAAGTTATGTTTGCTCCAAGGCTGAAATTTGGGATTCGACTAAAATTCTAACAGACTAAAAGTGTCCGCGGATCAGTAGTCGCTGGAACATTATGTCGCTTAAATCCAGTTGCCGTACACATTCAACTTCACACATTCATGTGAATACTTGAACCCCAAAAGCTTGGGCTCAGCCCCCTCCCCCTTTCCACACCACAAACAGATTATTGATTATAAATGATTTTACGCGAGACACATACAAGATACAAGATACAAGATATTTAATTTGGTATTTGCAAACAAGTTATATCGAAATTTGTTGTATGAATGCAAGAATGAATGCAAGAACCCTCGTGCATTCTCCCCGGAAAAATTAACACAAAAGTTTGTGCAGACATCATGTAGAAAGAAAGTATGTAATATGACAGCAGCAAAGAAAACAATGTAACAGACTCTTCTGAACGACAGGAAAAAGGACGTTCTGGATTTCAAATTAGTAAATATCAAGTGGTTACTATAAGGGGTCAACTCACAGCACTACTTCATGTGCGTCAATACATGCTTCTAGTAATGAAGATCGTATTTTATACATTTTACCTTCGGTATGGTATGGTATGGTAGTTATTCCATTCTTCATTTAAAAAAAGGCATATACAAAACATACAGAGTATTACCCCGAACAAATTGTATTTTGTAAATACATAAATACATGTAGAAGGGTAACATTACAGATAAAAAGAATACAATAAAATTAACAAATCTGACTGACATGAACGCTATACAAGAACCCATTATTATTATTATTATCAACAAGGAAATACAACCAGAAAGCAAATTTATGTCGAATGAGGGGTCAACAAAAAAGAGCATTTAGCCTTGTTGAACATTGACCCCTAAAGAAAGTACATAATTTACATCACATTAAGAAGAAAAAGAAAGCAGATGGAAGCAGTAAAAGGGTAAAGGAAAACATAATACAGAAGAAAAAATATACAAATATATACGTCTTAAATCAAATATGATATTCAAGTTGCCAAGTACAAATTTAATAAAAAAACAATCGAAAGGAACATTTCAAACTATTTACGGAAGGTTGATTCTTTTGATATTTTGGAATGTAGTGCTCCATAGATGAGGACCTTTATCAATAGTGGAGCATTTAGTATTAAATATTTGTCCTTTAGATTCATCAATGTCCATAATGGGGTTCACTGAGACGGAACCGGGATATTGGTTGCTTGCTGGAGTACTTGGTCTTCTCGTAGCTTGGTTGGTCAAACATCTGATAACCGGGCCCAAGAATCTTCCACCAGGCCCCACTGGACTACCTCTCCTGGGTGTAGCCTGGCAAATCTACAAGTATGTGTTTCTCATTACAGTATTTTACAAGCTATAACCCCCCTTGTGTACCTAAAACTCTATCATGTATCTCTCCCGCCCGACCCCCTCTCTTTCTCTCTCTCCCTATATCTTTATCTCACTTTCATTTTCATTCAATCCGACTCCTTTTGATAACTCTAGACCCTTTCCCATCTCCACATCTATCTCTGTCTATCTCTGTCTCTCTCTTGCACATACACACATACGCACACATTTTCTCTCTCTCTCTCTCTCACTTAATACTCTCTAACTATATATTTAAATATCTCTCCCCCCTTCTCTTGTTTTTTCTCTCTCTCTCTCCCTCTCTCTCTCTCTCTCTCTCTCTCTTCTCTCTCTCTCTCTCTCTCTCTCTCTCTCACTGCCGCTTCTATCTCCCATACCTATATCGTATCTTTTTACCATATTCTTCAAATTTTGACTCCGTTGGCGATATATGTGTAATATTTTCCTGTTAATCGCAGGGGTGGGTCGGATCCTCTTGCTCTCTTCGCTGCATGGTCCAAGAAGTACGGTGAGATGGTATCCTTCTTCGTTGGTCCGAAGCCGATCATCATCCTCAACTCTTACCCGGTCATCTTCGAAGCCTTTCGTCACCCCGATCTCCAAGACCGACTCGGCAGCCGACTACTTCAAGAAATAATTGGATTAAAGAACAGCGGTAAGGATTGAATAACATTGGCAAGTTATTTCCAGAAATGTTACAGCTCTTGTGCAATGGGAGATAGCCCTTCGTATAATAATTTTGAGTATCAAAGGAACTCACATACCTCAAAATGAAATTACGAGATCCATCCGAGTAATCACCTTAACTCCTTTCAGTAAATGTCGAAACGAAATCGTCTCGACGAAAGGAAAATAAAAAATAAATAAAAGAACATCATCAAGGGATCTTGCTAACATCTTTTAAAGCCCCGTCACTAATCCACTACTGATCTTGTGTATTTTTATTTTATTTGTCAGATTAAATTCTAATATAATATATGTATATAACCATGACAATCCGTCCATCATGTTAAACTCCATGTTTGATATCTTCCAAAGGAATTGCTTTTTCTAACGGAGACGTTTGGAAGGAGCAGCGTAAGTTCACCCATTCTGTATTCCGGAGTCTTGGTGTTGGTAAGAAGAGCTATGAGGATACCGTATCAGCCGAGATGACCCAGCTTTCTTCAGTCATCAAAGAAAAGAAAGGTTCTCCTTTTGACCCCAGTACTCTCTTTATGCAAGCCGTTTCCAACATCATTTGCTCTATCGTCTTCGGCACACAGTACACATACGACGACGAAGCATTCAAGGAAGTAAGCTGAATATGTATCATACTGACTTTCACTGATTATTCCTGCGGATTGTCACATCAAATCTTGAATGACAGTTTGTGAATTCATTAAAGATAATCAATTTTAGTCAAAATGATTTTAAGGCAGCCTCTATGTCGCCAATATTCTCTCTCTCTCTCTCTCTCTCTCTCTCTCTCTCTTTCTCTCTTTCTCTCACTCAGTGGTGGATCCAGGGGCGGGGGCGGGGGCCCCCTCCCTTGGGAAAACAGGTAAAAACACCGTTTTTTGTTAACAAAAAGAAGATGGGCCCCCTCCCATGGCGCTCAAGGGGGCGGTGGATGTTGAGAGAAAAAAAAAACACTGTCCCCTTCCCCGTTGAGCAAAAAAAAAAAAAAAAATGAAAAATTAGTGCTCACTACCCCCCCCCCCCCCCTTCCGAGAGATGGCGTTATTCCATATTCTGTTCATCATGTTCATTATTCACATCTCGTCTGTTTGGAACCAGAAGGGCGTTAACTCTGTGTAAGTTAATATGAATTAACGCTCTCCTGTCTCCAAACCTGGGAAGGAACAACTATATTATTACATGTATCCTACGACCACCAGGTTCCCCCAACTCTTTATATAAGATAGGAAGAGTTTCGTTTTCCTTATTGTCACACACATCATTCTTAAATAGCCTAAGACATCATTCTTATTTCCTTTTATATAGATTTTGCATCTCGTGAACTCGAACGTACAATTGTCAGGAGGGGGCGGAACGTTTTTGTTTCTTCCCATTCCTGGTATTTCCAAGATTCCGTTTGGTAAAATGAAGCTAATGACAAACAACATTCGGAGCGTGAACGCCTTCATCCAGTCCCAGATTGAGTCTCATGAAAAGAATCGGGATCCAGATAATCAGAGGGATTTCATCGACCAGTACCTCAATAAGTTGGATGAAACCAAGGTGAAATAAAAGCAACTAAGATACACACTGTAGATGCGTTTACATTCTACAATTCTTTGTTCCAGTGGTCATACGATTTATTACGTTCAATTTGTTCTACTTTTCGTTTGTCCAATCCTAATACTAAAACCTAACCTTATAATTCACCTTTACCCTAAAACTTACTCCCGCCCTCAACTTTCTAATGGGACGTGGGACAAACAGAAGTATGTATAAATCATGAGACAAACACAGTTTGTTCACGAAGTCCATTATTAAATTGTTTCTGCATCCAACACAGGCGCGTACGCAGGGGGGGGGGGGGGGGTGTTTTGGGGGTTAAACCCTCCTTTGGTTTTTTTAAGTGTATAAACCCCCCTAAACCCCCCTTTGGTTATTTTTTTTATTTAATTTTTTTTTTTTTAATCATAAAAAAAAAAAAATAATAATTCCAATGGCAGACCTCAAAAAGGTGACCTTACCCCCCCCCCCCAACGGAGCAAAATGTCAAATTTTTAAAATTTCGAGACCCCCCCCCAAAAAAAAAAGTGTCCTCTTACCCCCCCCCCCCCCCCCCCCCCCCCCCCCCCCCCGCTTATTCAGCGGCCGGCTGAGTCGTTGCGATTTTTTTTGGGTGACCAAAAAAAAAAAAAAAAGGTGTCCTCTTACCCCCCCCCCCCCCCCCCCCCCCCCCCGCTTTTTCAGCGGCTGGCTGAGTCGATGCGAAATTTTCGGGCTGATTTAAAAATGTTAAACCCCCCCCCCCTTGAAAAAATCCTGCGTACGCGCCTGATCCAACATGTAATATGTATGTCATTATTCACAGTGGATACTTGCACAAAATCAGAAGAACTAAATTCAAAGTATGACAACTGTAAACCACAGAGTGTTCATATCGGCAAAGCCTTGAGGCGCTACAAAAATCACATGTTAGCATTCTGTTAACCCTAAAAAGGCCGGGCTATTTGAGGTCTTAGTTTGCACGCATGTCAAGTGAAGTGTATAGAATACTATGATAATTTCATTTTTTTGAAAACTTTACTCATTTCCATATTTATGGTAATTTATGCAAATAATATCATTCAAATCATTAATCATATATTATTCATATTTAAGCATTCTTTTTCACTACATATATTTATTAGACCTTTCTGAATAATAATACGACAAAAAAATTTGGAAGAGCCAGTTTATTCCTTATGTTATCTCTTGTTTTGATAATTTCTTATGTATTTCATTGTTTGTTTTTTTAAACTTATGTATTTTATTGTTTTTGTTGTTTTAGTTAATTTCTAACTACAATTCAACTATTTTGACTCCCAAAACAACCACCTAAACTATAAACAAGACCCAATAACCCATGTTCGATCTATTTTTAGGAAAAATTACTTTTCCATATGTTTTGTACACAAATCACCAAAATGAGCGATTTTCGGGCTGACAAGCAAAGACAAAAGGTCACGTGACCTTGTAACCGTAGGTCCGATTTTCAAAAAAAAATATTTAAAAGTTGCCCAAGACTCGAATTAAAAAAGTCAGCGAGCGGCGCACAGTGGGCCAGGGAGGAACCAAAGTGCGCCAAAACTCATGTTTGGGGATTTATTTTGTATAAATCCAGAGGAAATGTTTAGATTTCCAGGGATTTTCGTTTAAATTTTATTACCAACATTTTCTCTGATGTCTAAGCTTTAAGTTGATACCAGATTTGGCTGCCCGATTCTGCCCGTTATTATGGTAGAGCCGTTTTCCTTGCAACATTGCCCCGAAAAATGTGTTTATTTTGGTCCGCGGTGTCAGAACAAGTGTCACGCGCCCCCTCGCGCCGTGATTTATGACCACGAATCCTTCATGATTCAGCCGCGGACCCCCAAAACCCACATTTTTCGGGGCAATGTGGCAAGGGAAATCGGCTCTAACATAACAACGGGCAAGATCGGGCAGCCAAATTTGGTATCAACTTCAAGCTTAGACATCAGAGAAAATTGTGGTATTAAAATTTAAGCGGTACACCGCGGAGATCTAAACATTTCCTCTGGATTTATAAAAACATGGGTAATTAGTCCATTTTTCCGTGAATTACCCTATAATATGTCATGAAGATTGTGTTTCTATCAATTTTAACCCATTCATTCAACGAAATGAACTATCAGGAATATGTGAGAGCAATTTCATATCAATAACTTAAAAACTTCATTTTGAATTGAAAGATTTATAAAATAAGTCACTTTTGCACTAAAACTGTGAAAATGTAGGATTTTGCTGTTTGAAGTAGAAAATTTATACCCTTATTGTGCATACCGGAATTAAATATTTCACTGAGGTATTCCTCTATGTATTACCTTTCAACTGGGCAAGAAAAAATTGGAAAACAAAAATCACCCAAACCTAGTTTTGGCGCACTTTGGTTCCTCCCTGGCCCACTGTGCGGCGGGGCGCCATCCATATGCGTTCTCGAACAATCAGAAAAATCGTGGAGGGGGGGGGGGGGGGGCATGATGGCCCCCCGGCCTTGTTAGGGTTAAGCGTTGGTCACAACCCACCGTGCGTGTTTTTAGTCCGTACGGTTTTTTTGGGGGCCACGGCCGCCATGTTTGTCTGAAAACGTAGGGAGGGAGTACCGGCAACGCACGTCACACGCACGGTGTAAGTACGTGGCCCTCACGCCACGCCTGGTCGTGAGCGATTGCGTGCATCGTACGTTGCGCACCTGGTAAGTGCTTACAACGTGCTTACAACGTATGGCCTCCGTGCGGTTGCAACGTTATCGTACGGAGGCCGTACTTACACGTGCCGCTCACGTACGGTGTCCTTACTCACTCGCACGTTGTAAGTGCGTGAACGTGCGATGAACTCGGTGAGTTTTTTCGCCCGATGTCGGGTTATGTATAGGACGACATTCGGATGTTCTCCAGAAGTCCCAGCTGCTGCTACCGCAAGATGCCGCCCATTCCACTGCAGAGACTATATACTGCATAAATCAGTGCGCACAACGTGACATATTCATAATTCCTACAAAGTTCTACATAATTTGAGGTTGGCTGCAAAAGGGACATAGTATCTTTAAGGCAGCCCTATTACCAAAACGTTATTAAATGCAATTCTTTCTGCTTTCGGCTGCTTTCAGGACACAGTTTCTTCATTCACCAAACTCAATTTAACCGGTTGTATCGCCGACCTCTTCCTCGCTGGGTCTGACACGACAACTACTACCCTAAAGTGGTGCATCCTCTTCATGATGGCCAACCCACAGGTTCAGTCACGTGTTCAAGATGAACTTGATCACGTGGTTGGCAGAGAACGAATCCCAAGGCTGGATGATATCAAAGATCTTCCCTACACCAATGCCGTTATCTTAGAGGTAGATCTTCAGTTATTTTGTTTCAAATTAGAGGGATAAAAGAAGGGGAGGGAATCCCCACCCACTGGACAAAACCGGACCCCCTCTTCCTTGAAGAATGCGGCTGCCATTACAACTATTCCTTGACATGTATTACAACCCCCCACCCCCCGAAAAAAACACAACGACAACAACAACATGTTATGAACTTAAAGAGACCGTGATATCTAAGATGTTCATGTTTTCACCCGTCTCTGTACCCCCAAGGAATAAGTACGGGTTAGACTTCAGGAGACGGAATGACATATCGGCATACCAAAGACATGCCTTAAGTCCTTGTGTGAACATATAGGGAGGAGAGACACGGGAGGTGTTGGGGGGGGGGGGGGGACATAGGGACAGGTATTTCCACCGCGGTGGATTTGATATGTAGAGACGCAACTGGCACATGACCCCCCTCCATTAATTCAATCTTTAATTCCTTAAGTAAACATATATTAATTGATTGTTTTGTTTATCAGAGTTATTTTTTTGTAACCCGGTATCTTATTTTCCAAGGTTCAACGGAAGGGTGCGGTAGCCCCATTAGGTGTACCCCACGTGGCTGCTGCGGATACCACCATACGAGGCTACACCATACCGAAGGGCGCCGTCATTGTGTCCAACATTTTCGAGGTGCTGAACAGCGAGGAGCTCTGGAAAGACTCTGGGGCCTTCAAACCTGAGAGGTTTCTGACCGCAGATGGAGAGCTCATAAAGAGAGATGAACTCATCTTCTTTAGCACTGGTAAGACAAGTTTATTGGCAGTTATTCGTCACGTGATGAATATTAAGAAACACATAATATATCCTCTCGGACAAAAGAACAAATATCAAACTTTTGATAATGTAAAATTGAGCCAAGTGATCAACTGGAATGTTCCTTTTTGATATAAAAATAAGAAAATTACCAACATAAAGGCTGACACTTCTGAGTGCAAGAAACGGAGAAATTTTTTTGAGTAGTGAAGAAGCAAGAAGGGATGTACATATATTGGAGATAATAAGAGGGTTGATTATAAATCCATTTCTTTCTCCTTCTCCGTCGATCATCCCCCTCCCCCTCTCTCTTTCTCCCTCTCCATCTATCTCCCTCCTACTTCATTCTCTCACTCTTCCTCCATCCTGCTCTCTCTCTCTCTCTTTATCTCTCTTTCTCTCTCTGTCTCTCTCTTTCCCTTCCTCTCCCTCTCTTTCCCATTATCATTGTTCATTCATACAATCCCCCAGGTCGCCGTGTCTGTATTGGAGAGCAGCTAGCCCGGATGGAAACATTCTTAGGGTTTACAAGCCTCCTTCAACGATTCACCTTCAAGAAACCTGACAACTCACCGACTCTTTCTTTTGAAGGAGTATTGGGTATATCAAGGAACCCTGTTCCCTACATGACATGTGCTGTAGTAAGAGAATGAAAATGAAAGGAAAACTCATTAGAGATACAGTCGTGAGGTATGGTAATAAGGAAACATGGGACTCAGAGAAACCCACACTTGATTTCCACGGTGATAAATGCTATCTGCCAAATGTTAAGGTATAAAATGAATAAAGGCTGAATAATAAAACAAAAACAAACGTTGAAATGGAACTAGTTGTCCCAACGCACGTCCTGCATAAGACTCGGTCATATTTTGTCTAAAATTATTGCTTGAAGATTTTAGTTAATGTGATTCCGGGCAGTTACTGTTACTTGACATTTTCAGGTCTAAATATACAACATACTGCATTTTTAATTATTTTTTCCTCGAAATATAAATTCAATCACATCTCAGGTTTAGTTGTACCTCTTTTGGAAAAGGGGATAATGAACCCATTTAACACATGGGTGAAGAGAAAAGCAAGAGCAGGTTAATATCTTGCCAAAGGATATTAGTGTCGTGTCGCGATTCGTACCCTCGACCTTTGCATCTTCAGTCAAGCGCCTTAAACCACTCGGCCACGACACTGTCTTCAAATAATAAAGTTTTTAAAATATATTAACTTTTATCTATTGTCAATATACATATCTCAAAGAGTAGACGCGATGCTTTTAATAAGGAGCCTATCCATACTTCGAAGATCTTCCAAATGTTGTTGTCACATTGATCACAATCATGATGCTGTGTTCTTATTACAGGAAGCGGTTTAAGGGAGAAAATAAATAGACAAACGGAGCCGATGTCTTATACAAGCTCTATTTAGGAGTCTTTCTGTCCAAAATTAAATTTATTGATTCTATGTATCATTTATTTTTAACTGGCAGATGATAATATGTTAGGAATGAAACGTCTCTTTTTTGTGATTTATATATTTTGTACTCACCTTTAACTCGATCGCGACTATTTTTTAAAGAAAATCAACTCAAGGGCGATTTCAATACCCTGTTGTAAATCGCATAGGTACCATGTTCGGATTACGTAATACTTCATTGACAAGTTCGCACGGTTCAATATGTGACGCACAAGCCTATTCACATTGCCCTAGGTTGAGTTTTCGAAAACAGTTGCGATCGTAGTCTATGTAGTAACCTATCGTTTGTAGAATGTTTTCTCATTGAAACAAAAAAATAAAGCGAAGACTATCTAGATAACTGTAAATGCAATGCTATCATACTTTGTGAAAAGTGAATGAAAGAGAGGAAAAACGGGGGAGATAAAGTGTGGAGGTAAATGGTCAATTTTCCCTTATATTTTGAGCCTCTATAACTTCACTTTTCCATAGATTTATATTTCAAGTATAAAGTTACATCGTACATAAATTCTTCTTCTTTTTTTAGTGATTTGTAAATGATATTGATTATAAAAGCACTAATTTGTTCACGTTTAAAACTGTGACAGGTGATTCATTGTTGTTTTGTTGTTGTTATATCTGTTATTTTTGTATATTGTTTTAATGGTAAAAACAACATGCATTGTCCCGAGATTTATCAGTGTTTCCTATACTCATTACGTAATTCATTACGTACTGAAATTTCATGTAAGTAATAATAATGATAATTTTGTTTACACAGGGAAGCCTCATTAGCATCAATGATTATCTTCCTGAGGCCCCTGCAATTATTATACCCCAAGTTATTGCCGGGTCCCCATTTACACCTACTACGTGTGGATTCACCCGATTGGATTCATGTCTTAAAGGTACTATGTCCCATTTGCAGGCCAACAAAATGAGGTAAAATTCCAACGGCATTTGAAAGATAATACTAATTTAGAACTTCCCTGAAAAAGGTGGGGCTAGAAAATGTCTTCAAGTGGGAAAATAACGACTATTAGCTGTCAAATCGACTTAGGAGCAAAAGAGCCAATAAGTAATAGTCTTGATTTTCAGACCATTGTACTAAATGGTCATACGTTTTATGCTGCGCAAACATTCAATCAGTTTAATTTTGGCCATCACAAGAAGTGGGTTATTGATGTAGACAAAAGCTCATGTACCCTTTACAGCTCATTTGATGTATGTTATTACCAAAGAACAAAAAAAGCCAGTCAGTCACTCAATAGTGTCTGACAGTGAAGTCTAGCAAGTAAACGGCTTTCCTCGCATAATTTGAATATTAGGACACTGCTAACGTTAAAATTTCACAGATAGGACATAGGTCTACATGACATATTCATAATTCCTGCAAAGTTCTACAGAATTTGAGGTTAGCTGCAAAAGGGACATAGTACCTTCAATTGCCAAATGACGTTGTAGTATTTTCCTCCTTCATTTCTCATTTCATTTACTGTTTTACTAAAAACTTGTTTGAGATTACATTGTCCTCTGATACCAGTCACTACTTCTCCTATGATATTTATTAACTTGGTTAGCTTAATAGCCCAGTACACCACACTCACTACCACACCCAATTTATCACGAACTTGATTTGGGACAATCTAATTAAGAGTGAGCGGTGTGGCTCAGTGACTCGAGAAGAATAAATACAGCACTCCCTAGGCCTCTTTTCCCAACCAATAGTTTCTCTTCTTGTAAGTGAATTGAATTGAATTTATTTACCACTTTCATAAAAACATACAAAGGCAAAGAATACAATACTTTTTTGCAAACATAGAAAAACCACTAAAATGGAAAATACACTAAAGGAAATTACGAAGTGGTTGGATCATCAAAAAAGTTACAAAAACTTATAAGTAGATGATCCTAAAAATGTACACAAAAAACAAACAAAAAGGGGACAAAGAAAATACAATACTACAATGGTAATTACACACATAAAAATTGCGTTTGTCAAATTCAAATTTGCTGTATCAGGTGAAGTTTTAAATGATGCTTAAAACTGTTTAACTGTTTAAGTTTAGGGGGTAGTTTGTTCCAAATAGTGGGTCCTTAGCATAAAAAGATACTATTTGAAAATGACGAATGACCATATATTACACGAGTGTCTGCTGAAGTCCTGGTATTATATCTATGAATATCGTTATTGCTCTGAAATATATTACAAAAGATTTCTGGTAATAGGTTATGATAATATGAATACATAAAAACACAGAGTTGAAAAACATGTAATAATGATATTGGGAGAATATTCAGTTTCAAGAAAAGAGGTCTGCTTGGACTTAAAAATGGCTTGTGGCAAATTATACGAACTGCTCTTTTTTGTAGGAGGAAAATACGATTAAGTAAATGCTGTTTACAAAAACCCCATATAATGTTACAGTAGGATATATAAGGCAAGATTAGTGAGTTGTATAACATTATGAGAATTTTGGTTGGCAAGATGTCTTTAAGTTTACTCATAATTCCTATTGTTCTAGACACTTTACGTAGAACTTCATAGACGTGTGTTTTCCATTTAAGATCTTTATCAATATTAATGCCTAAGAACTTGGTTGAACTGGTATGTTCAATCAGATTTCCATTCATATATATTTTTACTTCACTAACACACGTCTTTGGAAAGTTAAATAACATAACATTGGTTTTTTCATATTTAAGTTGCAGTTTATTTGCTTTAATCCACTCACTAACCTTTAAGAGCTCAGTGTTTAGATTTTTTGTCAGGCATTCAACATCTTTATGCTTATAAAATATATTTGTATCATCCGCGAACAGTATAAAATTCAAAATGGGAGAGACTGAATGTAAATCATTTATATAAATTAAGAAGAGCAATGGGCCTATAATTGACCCCTGCGGAATACCACAGGAAACTAATTGTAAACTGCTTATTATAAAGTATACTATGTTTATCAAGAAAACCGTGTAGTCTGGTATAGATGCATTTTTCAAAGATTTTAGAGAAGAGTGGAAGTAATGAAATGTAATGAAATGGGTCTGTAATGTAATGTTAACACCACTGTATAACATTTATTGCTGTATTGCTATTGGTAAATAAATCAAATTAAAAAAAAAAATCAAAATAATCTCACAGCGAATAATTTTGTCCACGAAATCACACCTGTAGTAGGGGAATGATGGTAGTATAGAAGGATGGTAGTATAGAAGGAGGATGGAGTAGAAGAAGGGTGGTGGAAGGAGTAGGTCGGTAGTAGAAGTGGCAGTAGAAGTAGGGTGGTAGTAGAGGTAGGGTGGTAGAAGAGGTACGGTGGCATTAGAGGTAGGGTGCGCGGCCCCCCCCCCCACTCCGAGAACGGACGGACCCCATGCGTGTTACCATAATGTCCGGTAAAGGGGTACTTTTCGTGCGACAAAATCCGGCCCGAGAATTGTAAAAAAAGGGGTGTATTAACTTTTCACCCGGAGATTTTTTTAAAAAGGGGGGTTTTTTCTTTTTTTCTCTCATCTCTTTGGACTCCTGAGAGATTATTCCGAATTTATGGGGGTACATTGAGCATTTTTCATGATTTAGGGGGGTCTCCAAGGCAGGAAAAGCCCGCGTAAGGGGGTTCGGAAATGTTGGCAGTCCTCAGATAGGGGGTGCTTTAAAAAAGAGGGAACAAGCATATGCGTACCCTAAATAACACTGAAGATGTTAATGGTGATGGCGATGATCATGATGGGTATGGTGATCATGATGATGATGATGGAGATTTTGATGATGATTATGGTGATGGCAATGATGATCATGATGGCAATGCTGATGATGTCAGTACGGTGATGGCGATGATCATGATGGGTATGGTGATGATGATGATGATAATGATGGCGGTGATTAAGAAGATAATTATGGTGATGGCAATGACGATCATGATGGAAATACTGATGATGGTGGAGATGATCACGATGGTGAAGGTGATGATGTCGGTGGTGATGGCGATGATCATGATGAATATGGACTCGATGATGATGATAATGCTGATGGTGATTATGAAGATGATTATGGTAATGGCGATGATGATCATGATTGCAATGCTGATGATGGTGGAGATGATCACGATGGCAATGGTGATGATGTCGGTGGTGATGGCGATGATCATGATGGGTGATGATGTTGATGATGATAATGATGATGGTGATTATGAAGATGATTATGGTGACTGCGATGATGATCATGATGGCAATGGTGATGATGTCAGTGGTTATGGCTATGATCATGATGGCTTTGGTGATGATAATGATGGGTATGGTGATGATGATGACAATGACGATGGTGATTATGAAGATGTTTATGGTGACAGCGATGATGATCATGATGGTTGAGTAGATCACGATGGCAATGGTGATGATGTCTGTGGTGATTGCTATGATCATGATGTCTATGGTGATGATAATAACGAGATCATGATGGCGATGATGAACACTTTATTGTATCGTTGCTTTGTTTCATTACTTCAAAATTTGGTGTGATGTTCTTACCCATCTTCTCATTTTCTCCTTTCTTCCCTTTCATATTGTCTTTGGTCAATGTGCTTGTCTTTTGTCAGTCTTTGGAGCTAGCTTGGTACCAGTGCTCGTATTGCCAGACGTTTTCTTGTCAGATGAGCTGAGCTGGGATGACTCTGTTTGGCTCATGTACTTCTGTTGTATGAGACGTTGACTTGTCAGTCTTTTACTTGTGAGATGAACTGCTCAGCAAGGGGAGGGGGTCATCTGGAGGAAGATGTTCTGGGTGAGGAATAGAAAGAAAATTGGTGGATTCCAGTGGATGACAGAGACGGAGGAAGAGAGAGCGAGGTACAGAAACATGGAAAATAAGGAGATGAATGACAGTCTAGAATGAATGGGTTAATAGTTTATCTGCGCTTTATAGAGACATTTGTATTAAGCGCTATATAAAAGCGGAATATCATTATTATTATTATCAACATTGTCATCATCCAAATCACCACCACCATTATCATCATGATCTTTACCAACTTTACAACCATCACCATTATCGTCATCACCTTCACCACCACATCCATCCCAATTATCATGATCCAAAAAACCACCACCATAACCATCATTCAAATCACCACTACAGCCATTTACGTTACCATCATCCAAATCACCACCATATCAACCATTACCACCACAACCATCACCATAAACATCATCCAAATCACCACCATCACCATTATCATCATCCGAATCACCAGCAACCTCATCATTATCTGATCATCCAAATCACCATCACCATTATCATCATCCAAATCACCACCATCACAAGTTCACAACCATCACCATTATCATTATCCAAATCACCACCATCACAACCATCATCATCATCATCATCATTATCATCATCCAAATCACCAGCACCACCGTCATTATCCGATCATCCAAATCACCACCATCACAACCATCATCATGCATCATCATCACCATCACCATTATCATCATCCAAATCACCACCATATAAACCATCACCTCCACAACCATTACCATCACCATTATCCAAATCACCAGCACCACCATCATTATCCGATCACCCTAATCACCACCAAAAACCATCATCATCATCAACATTACCACTATCATCATCATCATCCAAATAACCACCATCACAACCATCACCATTATCATCATCCAAATCACCACCACAAAATATATCATCATCATTAAAAAAAGCATCTGTTATATATATTTCATCATCTTTGTAATTATCACCACCACCACCACCATCATAATTATCATCTTTACCTATCATCACTTTTATTCATACCCCAACGATTATATATTTGTTCATTTTCATTTTCATTAATATCATAAATCATTATCATAATCATTGCATGTCACTGGTATCTATCTCTGTTTGGGCATTGTTTAACCATTCTTTTTATTAACGGCCGTTTGTATTTGCCATGAAAAGTTCTAGTTCAGCCCCTGTGCATCATATATGTAAAACTCCAAAGCTTCTACTCACTACTGTTTCTCTGCATGCTCTGAAGCCAATCGCTACATGTACACCATGGACGTGCATACGGAGCCCGGGAAGGGACATGGTAAAAATATTTTTATCTCGTTAAAACGAGATAGTTATCTCGTTTTAATGAGATAGTATCTCGTTAAAACGACATAGTATCTCGTTTTAATGAGATAGTATCTCGTTAAAACGACATAGTATCTCGTTTTAATGAGATAGTATCTCGTTAAAACGAGATAGTTATCTCGTTTTAATGAGATAGTATCTCGTTAAAACGACATAGTATCTCGTTTTAATGAGATAGTATCTCGTTAAAACGACATAGTATCTCGTTTTAATGAGATAGTTATCTCGTTTTAATGAGATAGTATCTCGTATAAGTCCATTGCATACTGGAACCGGGTGGTCCCTGTATTAAGCCTATGGGAGTGAGAGAATTCAGTAGTCCACGGGTTAACAACATAATACCCGCGAGGCTAGACTAGACTGCGCGCGCTGGCGCTAGCGCGCTCGCTGCTTAATGCAGTAATAGCCAGGCGGCCATGCCATGCCAGGCCTTGTACGTATACTCGCACAAACTGAGAAGATTTAGTTCATTAAGAATGGGTGAGTAATTGATTGAAATATGAGTAGATTAAGTGAATTTAGTCATCAATTTTGAAAAAGCTGCAATAGTCTTTGTGATCTACGGTAATTTCGTTACATTGTGAGACCGTTCTCAACAGATTTTTGGTGAAAAGACTAGGAAATTATTGCTCTTGAAATTGAACTTTGATTTTCATCGTCATGAAGTAGTTTGACTGCGGTTTGCCGTCATTTCACCCTAGTACTCCAGTTAGGGGCCCGGCCGTTCCGCCAGGCCCACCCCGGGGAATTTCGGTGCTCATCTGCATCAAGATCAAACTTTCTAATCAAGTTTTATTTGAGATTTGATCGTCATCATGTATCTAATTCACCAATCATCGATTTAATTTAAATATAGATTTAACGTTACACCTTACAATAATCTCTGAAGCATGATTTTTTTGATAATCCAAGTGGATTAATTCTTGTTAAAATCTTTAGTAGATCATAGATGTTGACTCTGATGGCTTTACTTATCAGTGCCATCCGTTCGCTCAGTTGCATCCGTGTCAACTTTATATAGACCAAAATTATCTGTGACCATTGATAATCAAACAACTCGAAATCCTATTTCATTTAGATGTAACTTTAAACCTGGAACTTATTAATAAAAAGTATTCAAAAAACATCAACACTAGGATTTGTTTATTTAATAATTAGATTTTGTGTGGGTCCAGCATGCTTGTCAAGTTATCATTAGAGTTTAGACCTTGACCTTACTAGAGTCTACTAGATCTAGATCTAGACCCCTATCAGTGGCGTACGCAGGATTTTTTCAAGGGGGAGGGGGGGGGGGGGGGGGTTAACATTTTGAAATCGGACCAAAAATTTCGCAACGACTCAGCCAGCCACTGAATAAGCATGGGGGGGGGGGGTTAGGTCATCCTTTTGGATTTTTTTTTTGTATTAAAAAAAAAAAAAAAAAAAAAAAAAAAAACCAACTCTAAAAAAAGGGGGGGGGGGGGGTTCCAGAAAAACATACACATAAAAAAAAAATGAAGGTAGGGGGGTTTACCCCCCCCCCCCCCTGCGTACGCTTCTGACTCCTGTTATTACTTTTAATATATTAGGTCTATTAGAGATTTTTTTCTTTGAATTGTGCAGATCATGTTGATAAATCTATTTGTGTAAGAGAAGACCCCTTTTCCACAATTATGTTTACTTATGAAGTCCACTTCTTCTTGTCTTAATAAACCAATTCTACTTGAGACTACTTTATATTTATAGGCCATATGAAGCACTTTTTGAGGCACAAGTTAAATCTTCCATTTGATTTTACTTTGTACTGTGGTCCATTAAATTGGAATGTTGATTTCCACACTTTATTAAAATTAAGGCCAACCATGACGTGAAAAATAGCTTTTATGCTAGATCTATTTTTATTTTGTTAAGGAGAAAGGGACGCCTTGATTGTCGTATTGATTTTGTTTTCTTTTTGTTCCAACAGATGGAAACTGATGAAGAGCTGGAAGGAGCTAACTGATGAGTAGACATTACAACATTTCTTATATTTTCAAGATGAAGCTGAAAGTCCCATGCAGGTAAAATTTTCAGGATATTTAGCACACAAATATTAAACGACCACCTATTTATTCACTAAAAAGGAAATGGAACTAAGTGTATGTTTCAAGTGTGTATAGTGGAGGGAATATTTTATTCTAGTTCTTCCCTTTCTTTGTTTACAAAGGGGTTTGTCCTTATTTACAGGAGGTCCTGTGTGTAGAAGAACGATGTCTAATGCACATTCAAAGCACTACATAATAATGATAATGATCATACATGTAGGGTATACGCAGGACCACTCATTACTTTTTTTTTGTAAGTGGTCCTTTCACTTCTTGAGCAATGAAGATGAAGAAGAACACAACATAAGATTAACGAAAGTCTGTTTATACGATGAGTTATGGTTGATATGTATCTATTATTATCACTTTTTAATTGAAGTACCTACATTGCTTTCTCTTATGTAGGATGATGCTTCTCTACAGTGGATGATGAAAGCATGCTGATTACAAACCCAGGAGAGGAATAAAGAACAGATATTGACAGAATCATATCTAGAGATGTGGGCCTACTGCACTTCATACAAGCAAGTGTGCTAATATACCATGTAGGTACCCCCAATAAACTATTGTAGGACACATTTATCATGCAGAAAGTTATAGATCTGACAGTTATATTTTTCATTGTCCATTGACTTGTAAAAGAATACTTGACTGAATATCACAATTGTGATTTAGATTAAAACTAAAATGTCAATATACATGAAATATAAGTCTACATAACGTATGTTTCAATAGCATTATTTCCTGTACATTCTCTGTTCCAAGTTGTTTGGTCATTTTATGTAAACCGAGTATTATTCATTTATGACCACAAGTTTACATTACAAGTACATTGTACATGTACCAGTATTACTTATTTCATACTTGTCTGATCCAAGCTCCATCAGGCCTATTGTCTTAATGGGATCATCAGGAATAATCTAACATGTGGTCAGTAACTAGTTTTGTAGGAAAAAGTTTAGGTTTTCCCACTAGAACCCCAAGTGAATATTAGTCCTTCCTCTTTTTGTCAGAGCAGGTATCAGGGTGTATGTTATTAGTTGTTGTTTATTTTCTTATACACTGTATCTTATTTCATTTTTCCATTCAACAGACTTGGGTTATCATCACAGCCCTTTCTTCTGAAAACTAGCCTACAACTTCATCGTTGAATGCAGAAGACATCTACATGGGACTACGTCTTAAAGATGCCCCCTCATATAATGAAAGAGGACAGTAGAGATGGGCTTAATCTTGAATATTTACATACTATTTATTTATTATTTGTATTATATGTTTGTAGAATACCACATTTAAAAAAAGCTAATGAATTTATCATCTTGTCAACTTTCAAATAATTAAAGATAACTAATCATCAATGAATAAACATTAATGACATTTTAACAATGTCAACTACCATCTTATAGGATGAAACTGAGTGCTGGGCAGAAAGAAATTTCCTTGAAATTTGAGTGATAAAGATTTATCAGTCTATATCAAAGATTGAATCAATCAATGATATTTATAATTATAATTATACATGTTGAAATTCATTTACCTGTCCTCAGTCTATGGACTTCTGTATTTGAAGTTTTGTAGATTATTACATTATTGCTGCTTCAAGTATTGTATGTAAGAAGGTTTGAAAGACAACCCTCTAAATGCACTAAATATGGAAACTGCTAATCATCATTGCCTGTTGTATCCAAACTGCTAATTTTAATAGAATCATGTTTTGATACTTCCTAGCTTAAGAAAACAGGGGGGGGGGGGCTTGTTATCCTCTTCCTGGTGCTGTTTCTAAATGGACCATGTAACATGTTGCAAAAGTGTAAACAATATTATATTTGTTATATGTTTATATTAGAAGGATTTAGAAAATGAAAACGTTTTGAATTATAGAATTACTGTTACTAGAAGTAATATATTGATGTGTAAGGGAAGGGGTGGTTTTCCCAGTGAAATTAACGGTATACCAATGTCAAATTGATAAAAAAGAGAAAACTGTTCCTAAAAATAAAATTATAAAGGACATGGGCCTCCCAACTAACTAACCCTGGTACCACTCCTGTTTTGTTTTGTTTTTTTTTTGGAGGGGGGGGGCGCCCCAATTCAAAATTTCCAGTGTTAAATTCCATTGTCTTTAAACAAAAAATATGTCAAGATATTGAAAAACAATGTTTCACTTTCCGTTTTCAATTCGAATAAAATGATTAACATATTTTCCGATCTCTCTGGTCTCTACATTAAAAATGTTCAAAGCTCCTGCAAAGGCTGCAAAAAGGAAAAGTGAAGATAATCCAAGTGAAATGTGGACAGTAATGGAGTGAATATGGATCAATGGTTGATCGTAGTTGATAACGAGTAAATGTAAATGAATGGTATTACGACTGAAAGTGAGACAGAAAGGAACTGCAACAGATTGTTCAGTCAAGACAAACCGTTAGTTGCAGAAGATAATTTACGAAAGACAGAGAAAGAGAGAGAAGGGGAATCATTAAGGTACGATGAGAGTGGGTGGAGAAAAACCATCCTCTTTGCCACATAATTTGTTTGTATAAAATAAGGACACTTTATACATTAGCATATTTAACATGTATAATCATAGCCAGAGAATGTGTTGTTATATATAGCATGTTTGAGTTAATAAAACAAAAACAGACCCAGTTATTGATAGACTAAAAAGGGAATAAGATCGGATCAGTATTTCTTATTCAATGAAGTTAAGGCCACTCCCCCATATTTAAAAACAACAACAACACAACAACGAGAGGTCCACTTCCCGATGCATTCTGGGTACACCAGCTGTTATATTTTTTTTTGTTTTGTAATATTCTTTATTGTATTCACTCAATAAATAATATTAATTCATACAAATTGTAATATATAACATATTGAAACCAATTACAGAGTACAAAATACAGTAATCTCAATTATATTGAATGAATTAATCCCTATTACATATTATAATTTATAACATATTGGAACAAAGTACAGACTACAATCAACCTAGTTATATCGAATATTACATATTACATATATTAAATATATACTGGTGATCGATAATACAAGTTCGAGCGCATATTTCACCTAACGGTGATCGCATCAGAATAATCTACGCTGATTCGCTGAATCACTTGCGTTGCTGGCGCGCAGCGTGATGAATAAATTACCCATAATTCCGTACAGTAGATTATTTGACCTCTCTAATTACGCTGATACGCGTGTTGTCTTTTACCATGTAGTGAACATCATTCCAGTACACGTTTCGTGGGGAGCATCCTTCAGAATGCATAATTCATAGGGCTCATGAATTATGCAAGGGGCTTATTTTGGCTTCTAATGGATCCGGACAAAATGGCGGAGCTTGGGGGGCCTGGTCTAGCCTCGCGGGTATTATGTTGTTAACCCGTGGACTACTGAATTCTCTCACTCCCATAGGCTTAATACAGGGACCACCCGGTTCCAGTATGCAATGGACTTATACGAGATACTATCTCATTAAAACGAGATAACTATCTCATTAAAACGAGATACTATGTCGTTTTAAACGAGATACTATCTCATTAAAACGAGATAACTATCTCGTTTTAACGAGATACTATCTCATTAAAACGAGATACTATGTCATTAAAACGAGATACTATGTCGTTTTAACGAGATACTATCTCATTAAAACGAGATACTATCTCATTAAAACGAGATACTATCTCATTAAAACGAGATACTATGTCGTTTTAAACGAGATACTATCTCATTAAAACGAGATAACTATCTCGTTTTAACGAGATACTATGTCGTTTTAACGAGATACTATGTCGTTTTAAACGAGATACTATCTCATTAAAACGAGATACTATCTCATTAAAACGAGATACTATCTCATTAAAACGAGATACTATCTCATTAAAACGAGATACTATCTCATTAAAACGAGATACTATCTCGTTTTAACGAGATAAAAATATTTTTACCATGTCCCTTCCCGGGCTCCGTACGTGCATCATCATGCGCCTGCACAAATTATTGCCCGCATCGCCAGCGGACGAGATCAAAAACAATACCAAATCACTTTTCCGAATCGACTCTCTTTATTATAAAAGTGACCTAAGTTCTAACGATACTTGCAGTATGACCTTCTCTTCATCAGGCGCGGATCCAGGATTTTCTAATAGGGGGGGCCGGAGATTTGAAAAATTGCGCAGACCGTTTTTCAACTCAACATACCAATACTGACAAGGTCATATTAGAAGCACCATACCGGTACAAATTTGTTTACATTTTCATCGGGGGGGGGGGGGGGGGGCTGAAGCCTCTTTCCTAAAAAAAATGTTATTTTCTGGTTTGACAATTCGGCTAGTGAGCGAAGCGAGCGAGCACAAATTTGAGGATAATATGTATTTTGTGAAAGTGTTATTTATCTCCAAAATATACGAGAAAAGATATTAAAAAAATCATATTCGGGCAGGTCGCTGTTCGCCCCCCCCCCCTTACGCGCGAAGCGCAGAAACTTTGACGTTTCATGAAATTATTAGAGAAAGAAGACGATTCGTTGTACCGTTCTCGATTCTTAATCATTGCCTGAATTCAGTTTCCCCACCCCCTCTTGCGCGAAGCGCGGAAGCTGTGACATTTCATTAAATCATTAGAGAAAGAATACGATTCGTTGTACCGTTCTCGACTCTTAATCCTTGTCTGAATTGAGTTCCTCCCTCCCGCGCAAAGCGCGGAAGCTTTTACGTTTCATGAAATTATTAGAGAAAGAAGACGATTCGTTGTACCGTTCTCGATTCTTAATCATTGCCTGAATTCAGTTTCCCCACCCCCTCTCGCGCGAAGCGCGGAAGCTGTGACATTTCAATAAATCATTAGAGAAAGAAGACGATTCGTTGTACCATTCTCGACTCTTAATCCTTGTCTGAATTGAGTTTTTTTCCCCCCGCGCAGAAGCTTTGACGTTTCATTAAATTATTAGAGAAAGAAGACGATTCGTTGTACCGTTCTCGATTCTTAATCATTGTCTGAATTAAGTTTGCCCCCTCCGCGCGAAGCGCGGAAGCTTTGACGTTTCATTAAATTATTAGAGAAGGAAGACGATACGTTGTACCAGTCTCGACTCTTAATCCTTGTCTGAATTAGACCCCCTCCCGCGCGAAGCGCGGAAGCTTTGACGTTTCATTCAATTATTAGAGAAAGAAGACAATTCGTTGTACCCTTCTCGATTCTTAATCATTGCCTGAATTCAGTTTCCCCACCCCCTCTCGCGCGAAGCGCGGAAGCTGTGACATTTCAATAAATCATTAGAGAAAGAAGACGATTCGTTGTACCATTCTCGACTCTTATCCTTGTCTGAATTGAGTTTTTTTTCCCCCCGCGCAGAAGCTTTGACGTTTCATTAAATTATTAGAGAAAGAAGACGATTCGTTGTACCGTTCTCGATTCTTAATCATTGTCTGAATTAAGTTTGCCCCCTCCGCGCGAAGCGCGGAAGCTTTGACGTTTCATTAAATTATTAGAGAAGGAAGACGATACGTTGTACCAGTCTCGACTCTTAATCCTTGTCTGAATTAGACCCCCTCCCGCGCGAAGCGCGGAAGCTTTGACGTTTCATTCAATTATTAGAGAAAGAAGCAATTCGTTGTACCGTTCTCGATTCTTAATCAATGTCTGAATACAGTTTTCCCACCACCTCCCGCGCGAAGCGCGGAAGCTGTGACGTTTCATTAAATCATTAGAGAAAGAAGACGATTCGTTGTACTGTTCTCGAGTCTTAATCCTTGTCTGAATTGAGTTCCTCCCCCCCCCCCTCCCGCGCAAAGCGCGGAAGCTTTGACGTTTCATTAAATTATTAGAGAAAGAAGACGATTCTTTGTTCCATTCTCGACTCTTAATCCTTGTCTGAATTAAGTTTCCTCCCCCCGCGCAGAAGCTTTGACATTTCATTAAATTATTAGAGAAAGAAGAAGATTCGTTGTTCCGTTTTCGATTCTAAATCATTGTCTGAATTGAGTCCCCCCCCCCCCTCCCGCGCGAAGATTGACGTTTCATTAAATTATTAGAGTAAGAAGACGATTCGTTGTACCGTTCTCGATTCTTTATCATTGTCTTAATTAAGTTAGCCCCCTCCGCGCGAAGCGCGGAAGCTTTGAAGTTTCATTAAATTATTAGAGAAAGAAGACGATGCGTCGTACCGTTCGCGATACTTAATCATTGTCTGAATTCAGTCCCCCCCCCCTCCACGCGAAGCGCGGAAGCTTTGACGTTTCAT